GGCAAGAGCCAATCAACATCCAGAAGTAAATGAGGTCATACAAATTAAAGACCTGCCAAGTGAAGCTCCAGTCAGCTGCCAAAATTCTCAGAAACAGAGCAAAAAATTTTAAGAGAAGAGGTGCTAATAAATAATATCTAATTGTTCGGTAAAACACTTTAAACTTTCAATCAAAAAACAAAGTTTCCTAACAGAATTTTTTTTTTCATAAAAAAATAACAAATAAGAATTTAACATCTTAAAATTCAACTTTTATTTGTATGCATTATATTGTAGCATGTAAGATTTATTCATTTTTACTAACACAAATTAATGTTCAAAATGTGGCATTGTTTTTATTACAATTAAAAATGAACATGCTGAAATTCGAATTACTATGGCAAGCAGTTTTAGCTTTTATATCCTTAAGCAGGTCTTTTTTCTCCTCTTTTTTCCTACATCCATAATTATAAGGTTCACCTGGAAGACTATCACCAGAGTGTTTCCAGGCGTTATTTTTTTTTGCAGAATTATGCATGTTATGAATCCATACTGCCATATTTAAATTAAGGAAACGTGTGACTTTGCCACACATCACACAAGCAGTTAAACAAGCCAGTGTAAGACATTACACGCTTTGGACGTCTGGTTCCTATCCTATTCCTGACTTTTTGAGGTTTCTCTAGAATGGTGCATTTCACTTTAAACTCTCTGAATGACTTTTCTTCCATTTTACCAATGTAACAACACAGAACTTTGAAAAAATCAGTGGAATTCCCCTTTAATCAATGAGAAATGTGCTCTACAATGATGTGGCAGGTTTAGATTTTAACATTCTAACACATTTTCACACACTCGTCAGAAAAATAAAAATGGGCTAATCAAATCAGAATGGTGTAACAAGCACGTTGGACCCCATCCAGTGGTTGCTTTTTAAGCCGATTTCATTTCACCACACTGTTTCTCCACAACAATCCCAGATTATGGCTACTGTGTTTGCACGTCACATGTGCAGACGCGTTGTTCTGGATTTACACTTCTATTTCTGAGCATCGATTTATAAATAGACTCTGTTACTCAAACTAAATCCCGAAATATCATTCCAACCACGTAGAGGAAAGATCTAACAGATTCTTACCCCACATTGAGGTGGTCCACCAAGGCCTCTGTTAAACAAGTGGCTGCTGCTATAGCTTCACGTCGACGCCTCTCTGTGTTAAAGGGACAGAATGAGAAAGGAGTGTTACTACAGCACAGTAGACGCATGAAAAAGAGCTGGCCAGTATTATTCAATGACCAATTCAAATAATACTAATGCATCTCTATTGAATTGGTGTTCTTTTCCAATGAATGACCAGGCCTAACAAAATTAACTGGAAAAAACTCAAGATCAGGCCAGGCCTTCACTGCACTCTTAAAAAGATGGCTCTTCAAGGGCTCTTTAGTAAAGAAAATGGTTCTATGAACACTCAAAGAACCATTTGCATGATTAAAGAGTTCTTTACATTGTGAAAGCGTTCTTCAGATTGATGGAGAATGTGTTGCAGATGGTTGTATATAGAACCTAAAAGGGTTCTGCTATTGTTACAATGTCAATACAGCTTTTTGCTGCTATATAGAACCCCTTTTAAAATGTTTCTTTACCAAACCACATACAGCACATTCTCCATCACACTGAAGAACTCTTTCATGATGCAAAGAACCCTTTAATCACGCAAAGGGTTCTTTGAGTGTTCCTGTTTCTATATAGAACCATTTTCCTACTAAAGAATTCTTGAAGAACAACTTTTTGTTAGGTCTGTACCATAACTGTCTATTCATTACAGAACGGCACATTTTAGGATCTGTAAATACAATTATTTGTATGCATTTTTACATGCAAAGGGGAATTCCACCAATTTTTTAAAAAATTCTGTGCAATTAAATCTTTAAGGTGTAAACAGTCATTCATTCAGAGTGGTCTGATGTGAAGTACTCCATTCTAGAGAAACTTACCAAACCATAATTGTTTACGACGATGGTGATAGGAACTAGACGTCTATAGAGTTTAATCCCTTTAAAAGCTCCCTCACAGAAAGCTATTACACAAAATGGTTTTATACACATATATATACTTAAAAGCATATATACCTTTAATGTGTTCACAGTGGAGAGGTACATGTGGGCCAATGTAAGGCAAAACAGTCCCCAAAGAAAACTCATAAAAAAACTCAAAAGACTTAAGTAGATTCATTGTGGGTTCTGGACAGTAACTAAAACGGCTACATTTGTGTTGTAGACTTTGCTACCCCTGGTTTCTATCACCACCACTGTAAAGAAATCTGAGTCTGTAAGTTTCTCCACAATGACTTATTTCACACCAAACTACTCTGAATGACTTTGTGTGCATCTCAGCCACTGAATTATGCAGAAATTTTGAAAAATCAGTGGAATGCTCCTTTAACTAGGTGCATTTTGGGTCTTTATTATATAATAATAATGCTGAGTAATGATTATATTATAAATACAGAAAGTAGCTGGGTTAGGTCCAAAGTTACAGCTCTGCACCTTTTAAACCAGCCAAGAGGGAACTGGCCAGGTCTGTTAGTCTTGCAAAAGCATATTATTATTACAACAAAGACATGGCCTTTGGCATTTTTTAAGTCCACCTCTAACGTTTGTGTAACTCAATTCAATTTTAATATCATTTATTTTATTTGTCCATTTTCCAACCTCTCTTTATCTCTTTACAATTAAGCAGGCTGATTTTGTTACTGTGCCTTTAAGACTGATATATGTAAATGAGCTCTGTTCAGATCATTATACCTTCAACATGCGTAGGTGGAGCTAAACTGCTGTAGGCTGAATAGGCAGATATATGGAAATGTACTTGTGTTTGTGACATCAAAAAATTAAATAAATTGCATAGAGGCTGTTTTTTTTTGCAGTTTAGTTTGTCTGGGAAATGAATGGTACAGTTTAAAACTTTAACAATTTACACACCACATCAAACTCTTTTATTTCAAAAAGTAAGGAATATTCGGTGTTCCACAGTATTGTCCCTTCAAAGGAATATAATTTTTTAGTATTATTAATTCTAGTGTGTTTCCTCATCACTGTAGCTGACAGCAGACGCAACACAGCAAAGCCAAAAAAAATGTTTCTATTATTATGAACTATTTTTTTCAAACAAATCTTGTTAAACAGGCTACAAGAGGCTGGTCTAGTCATAAACACTGTAACTGTAAACAGGCTGTTCATTGTCCATTTTATCTAAGTGTATTTTCTCTGTATATTGTATTAGGGTTAAAGAGGAATTCAAGCAATTCTTCAAAAATTCTGTATAATTCAGTGGTTGAGATGTAAACAAAGTCACTTAGAGTGGTTTGATGTGAAATGGTTTATTGTAGAGAAACTAACTGACTTACTGATTTCTTTACAGTGGTGGTGATGGGAACCAGGGGTCACCATGACTACAACACAAACAGAGCCATTTTATTTACTGTCCAAAACCAGCAGTGAATCCATTACCGCTTTATGTACTAACTGTGAGGGAGCTGTCAGAGGTGGGCGTCTGGTTCCTATGACCACCACTGTGAACGATTCTGACTCAGTACCCCTAGAACAGAGCATTTCGCACCAAACCACTCTGAAAGACTCTGTTTACATCTTATTTAGTCATTATCATTTATTTATGCACAATTTATTAAAAAATCGTGTAGTTCCTTTTTAAATCTGTGATTAGATGGACAAATGTTGACTGGCTAGCCACCTAGCTAGTTAGCCAGCTAGCCAACATCCCTCTAGCAAAGGTGAAGTCCGCTTCCCTTTCCAGAATTTCCCCGTTCCACTTTAAACTGTACAGCAGTTATTATTACAACGCCTCTGGCGCCAGAATGTAACTGCTGCATCATTTAAGGTGGAACGGGGAAATGCGAACCAGAAGCTGGCGAATAGGAAGCCAACTCGTCTCTAAAATATTGTAACGTTACCTTGAAGCTCCTTCCTTTCGTTTTGTTTTGCTTGATGTTCCTTTAACAGCCGGGAGAGCATTGTTTTTCTTCTACTGCGATACAATTTTGTACAGAAATGACAGACTTTTTAAGAAAAATGACAAAAAAGGTAGCTATTTTGGGTCGTCGGTCAGTCAGATTCACGTGACAGACAACAGTGTAAACACCAGAAGAGCAGAACAAGACCTTCATATTAAAAGTCCCTGCGCTGGGAGGCAGCAGTGTTATTGGGCAATGATAGGGAATTACAAGGAATTACATACAATATTCCAACTAGTATAGGGAATATCCCCATTTTCGTGAGTAGAACCATAAATTCTATATAGAACAATTTCATGGTTCTTTTCATGGTGAAATGGTTCTTCAGATTGTTGGAGAATGTGTTGTACATGGCTCTATATAGAACCGTTTTTTCTATACAGCACCACATTGATGTAACAGTAGAAGAAGGTTCTATATTGAACCATATAGTAGTTGAATGATTTTGAATTATGCAAAAACTGAGAAAAATCTATGGAATATCCCTTTAAAGGGTAACCCTACCAGTTTTTATAACTTGTGAGCCAGAATTGTTCACAGTGGTGGTGACAGGAACTAGATGTCCACCTCTAAAAGCTCTCACAGAAGGTTATTACATAAAATAAACCGGCTCTGTCAATTACACAGCTGATGTCTGAGACATTGTTTTATGATAATTTTGTCATAAAGGTTTTGCTTAAAATATATTTGAATCCATTTATTTTAATCCATTCATGGCAGAGGGATGTAAAGGCACTGTTATATATATATATAAAATGGCTATTTTTGTGTTGTAATAACCACCACTGTAAAGAAATCTGTGTCTCTATAATGAACTGTTTTTAAACTACTCTGAATGTCTCGGCTTACATCTCAAGGACTGAGTTCAGTAATTTTAAGTAAGTCAGAAATTTTGAAAAATTGGTGAAATATCCCTTTAAGCCTCTGTCAAAGCAAATCGGTTGTGGGGACTTTTATTCTGTCGGGCCGCTAACGTTAATGTAGGCCACTTCTTCTGTGGAAAAAAAAAAAGAGTCTGACTCTCAGCCCAGAGAAGATGCTGCTGCTGACAAGACATCGCTGTTTTTATCATGTTCGCACAAGAACGGCCACTATGTAGTGGAATTGTTTTCTCTGTAACTCCGGGACGCCTCGGTTTAGCCGTTTGACATGTTTAAGAAACAGCGGAGTCAGTAAAAGAGGAAAGGAGCGCCAGCGGAGCTCCGGGATGTGGCCTTTCTGAAAGCTGCAGCTAGCTGTTATGCTAGCATGACGAACGGCGTACGGGCTCGTATGAACATAAACAAATCAATGGTGGAGGAAAGACGAAGGACACATCTGCGCTTTTCTCCTCTTTTTATGAGCTGAAGCAAAAAAGAGACAGTTCGCCACGCGTTTTGCCAGCTATGTCAACATTATGAACCTGAAAAAATCCCGAAGTGTTGGAGCGTCCTCTCCTTTGAATGGCCTCGGAAAACAAGGTAACCGTAAATGAGGAAAGTTTTACATAGCTGTTACAGAATAAAATTAAAAAGTGAACCATTTACGGTATTATTCCAACTTGGTTGGTGTCGAGAGCAGCGTTTCAAAATTTCTAGACAGTATGTTGTGTTGACGTGTGCATAATCAATTATACAGCCAGTTAAAGGGAGTTTCTTCTGTGGGTTGGCGATACGGCAAAAAAAAAATGATATCGCGATATTTGAGGACGATACGCGATATGTACCACGATATTTATTTTTTAAAGATAATGAGTTTAAAGTTGGAACAGACAGAAAAACAGTAATATTAAAAAATACTATAAAACTGTCAGTATAGTTATTTTAATTCAGCATTTCACAGATACTCAATCCAATTACACAGGCCTAATTATACTCTCCTCGTAAAGGAATATGTAGTTGATCTGTTTTTTAAGTTCTGACTTTATCTACAATATGCTCAGAATAGGTTTTCTCCCCAATTTAGTCTTTGCCAATTCCACCCGCTAGTTAGGACTCCCCCAATCACACACGACGGCGTCAACGCTAGGAGGGTGAAGGCTAACACAGGCTTCCTCCGAGACCTGTGAAACCAGCCACCGCTTCTTTTCGAACTGCCGCTCACGCAACGTCTTTGGACAGCTGAACGCGCTCGGAGGAGAGCGCCAACCGCCAGATCTGTTACGTCAGCTAACAGACGCCTGCGCTGACTACCATCGCGCTTAGTGAGTGATGGGGGGAGAAAGGCAGCCATCCCACCCACCCAGAGAGAGCGAGGCCAATTGTGCTCTCTCAGACTCCCGGCTGCGGATGGCTGTAGCATCGCCAGGGATCGAACTCGCGATCTCCTGATGATAGGGCCAACACTTAGACGGTTGCGCCACTCGGAGCCCCTATGTGATGTAAAGTTATCACAATAACCGTAAACATCATCCTTTTGTCCATGCCTAGTTTCTTCCCCAGATGACGTCACATTAATACCTTTTAAATCACCTTTGTTTTACATCTGAACCTGGGGTGCTACTAACTTTGTGTCACTCCATTAAACTAAACAAAAGTTTAATTCATTGTTTACTTCTATAGATCAGTTGACTGAAAAGCCATTATGTTTCAGTCTAGGGCTGAGAAACATGACAGTATTTATGTTTATCATGATGAATTATATCACAATATGTCATAATATGCTTTCCTGAGCATATTGTGAGGGGTGGCCGATATGGCAAAAATATATCACGATACTTCAAGACATTTTCAAGATACACGAAAATTTAGTTTTTCGAAGATTTAAAAAATCAGTATTTTATAAATTGCACTACACAAAATCCAATTAGACAGGCCTAATTGTGCTTACTTGAAAGACTTATGTAGTTAGCCATTGTTTTCTTAGTGCTGACAATATCCACGATATGCTCAGTAAATACACGATTTATCAAGATAATGATAAAATATGGTCATATTGCCCACCCCTATAAACACTGAACTTTTTAACACTTTGCCTTTAAATTGCTGGTTCATTTTTTGCTAAACTTCTGAGGAGTTCTCTCTTCTGTCAAGAAGACTTTGGGCTGTTTGTGTGTTTTTTTGTTTTTTTTTTCCCCCTTTTTTTTTGTGTTTTCCCCATGGGAATCTCAACAGCTGCTGTTTTCAAGGAAGAAATCTGATTGAGGGAAGAGGTCAAAAATCACATTTCACAGTGGCTGATAAGGCTTCTCTGTGCAAACCAACAAGCCATATTCCTACTGGAATTGCTGAAGAAGTCGCTTCACATATAAACAACTGTCCACAAGTATCCAGACTCAGTGAATTCAGCTACTTTGTGGTGCTTCCCTTGCTGACACAGGAGTTCAGTTGCACATGCGTAGCTTGTACAAGCATCAAGGATCTGGAGCAGCCTCAAATGAGGCTAAGGTCACCATGTGCAATACCAGGTGTGGGCTAGAGGGGTATTAACCCCCCCAGTACTGGGCTGTGGAGCAGTGGAACTGTGTTCTCAGGAGTGATGGAGCTCCATCCAGTAACTTTAGGATTTGGAATGTGATCCAGAACTGATCATCCAACATCAGTACCTGACCTCACTAATGATCTTATGGCTGAATGCGATCAAATCCCCACAGCAATGTTCCAACATCTACTGTAAAGCCTTTCTGCAAAAGTAGAGGCTGTTACTGCAGCAAACTCACTTTTAATGGAACATTTTTAGCCATTTGAACTGTTACACGCTATTCATTGCAATTCTGACGACTACCCTGACCGTCTGAATCATCTTGGCAGATGCTGAGTCGAGGAAGAAGAGGAAGATGGCAGAGATCTCACAGGCTCTCAGTATGACTCCTGTTGATGTGGCTGCACTGAGAAGGATGGCCATCAGCGAAGGAGGACTGCTGACTGACGAAATCCGATGCAAAGTCTGGCCCAGGCTTCTAAATGTGCCCGTAGACAGCATACCTGAAAAACTTGGTAGGTTAATTCTTGACACACACTGTCTGTGCTTGGCCCTAATGTTGATTGTAAAGTGCCACTGTTCTGGGTAGATAATCTGTGTTCATTGTGTTTGATTCATTGTCAGATGAGGTGGAGAGAGAGAATAATAAAGACTACAACCAAGTGCTCTTGGATGTGCAGAGGTCCCTGAGACGCTTTCCTCCAGGTTGGTGTTAGAGCTGCCTTTGCATACAAACAAGACAAATAATGGAAAAACAACTGCAGATTGCTTAAGAAGAGTAACTAAAAGCATGAAGTACAGTTTAATTGGATTTAGTGCAGCACAGTGTGTGAAATGAATATCATTGTATTTATAGTTTTGATGGGATTTTTGTAAATGTAGGACTTCTGTGTTTTTTTTCCAGTTTATCACGTGTTGGAAAAAAATATATCGTGACATATCATGTATTGTAAAAATACATCCAGAACCTTTGTTTATGCTAAACGTGTGCAGGGATGCCTGATGAGCAGAGGGAAGGTCTGCAGGAGGAGCTGATTGACATCATTCTGCGGGTGCTGCAGAAAAACCCCCAGCTGCACTATTACCAGGGCTATCACGACATCGTGGTCACTTTTCTGCTGGTCCTGGGCGAGCGCCTTGCCACTGCCCTGGTGGAGAAGCTCTCCACACATCATCTCAGGTGGTGCCATTTTTCATAAAGTGTGGTCTCTTGTAGTGAGGGTATTGGATTCTGCCTACTGTTACACTCCCAAAACATACTGACGCTTCAGTCATTTAATGGACCTAACAAATTAGATTTTTAGGTTGTATTACAATGTTACTTTTTGTTATTGAGAATCTTTCTTTTTTTCTGTTACAGGGACTTTATGGACCCCACCATGGACAACACAAAACACATACTGAACTACCTTATGCCAATTATAGAGCGAGTCAACCCAGAGGTGTATGACTTCATGCAACAGTGAGTTCAGTGTTTTGATTGTGTTCATGTAATCTAAGGGCACTTTCATATCTGCCGTGTTTGGTGCGAACCAGTCAAACCTTTTCTATACTTTGATTTGTTGTGGCCGGTGTGAGAACTCCTGTACTCAGGTCTGCTCCAAACAAGGGATTTAAACATCAGAGCATGCTTTTCTCTTCATCTAGCAGCACACCTGCATTGCGGTGACCACACATTTCACATTTTACTCGAGCAATAGTGAAGCATTTGATTTTGACACAGAAGTGAGGCCAAGCATCAGGATTCTGATATATTGACATGTAATTAAACCAGTTGATTATAAAGTATAGTTCAAGTACTGTTTATCTTATTAATCGGATTGTGACGTCAAGATATTAAGTGTCTCATGCAACATGGATAGAATCATACATTCTATCAGAAGTAAATGTAAAGAGTAGATCTGAATTTTCTACTGTGATAGGCTAATGAAAACGTAAAAACATGGTCTGTCTTGGTACTAATTGGGTAAAATGTAAAAGTAACAGAGTAATTGTATCCCGGCCAAATTTCTGACCAATCAAGGAACACCTGTGTGGTACTTTTTAGCAGTTGCAATGTGAAACCACCAAACCAAATGGGACAAAAATACAGTGTTACTAAAACCAACACTCTGGACCAAACTAGGTATGAAAACTAAGTATGAAAAATAAGGGATCAGTAAACCTAAGAGCCTTTAAATATTTCATGATTGTTAAGATGTGTCTTGGTAGCTTGTAATGTGATGTTGTAAATTGAATTAAGACCCCTAATGTGTCTTATTATTCAATTAACTTGATGAATATCAGTTTCTTGTAGTTTTGAGTGGTTTTGAAAAACCCAGGAGGAAGCTTAATGGAATTTTGCCGAGTGGGAAAAGCCCCAGCTTTAATCGCCGTTATGTAACGTTCAGACTGAAGCCTATTCATTGTGTAAACTCAATACTTCACCCAGCTTTAAGTGCCAGTTACTTCATGTGAAATTAACAAGGCCACTCTTGTTTCTCTTCAGAGCGGAGGTGGGCACCATCTTCGCCCTAAGCTGGCTCATCACCTGGTTTGGACACGTGTTATCAGATTTTCGGCATGTGGTGCGGTTGTACGATTTCTTCCTGGCCTGCCATCCTTTGATGCCAATTTATTTTGCTGCTGTGGTGAGTGAGTTCACTTGAAATTCCACAAAAAGTGTGCAGTGTTACTCAAGTACAATGTATTTCTATAATTAGACTTCAGTAATGTCCTCGTGTTCAAAAAAGGGATTTTTGGACGCTGCTATTTCTGGTACTCAATGACAGGCTGGCAAAATTCAAAGAAAGATGAAGAGAACAAACATTTGCAGACAACTATGGTTTTGCAGACTCCAGAACCTCCTTTGTGTTTGGTAAGGCCAGGACGGGTATCAGTAGCTCAGCAGCTGTTGTAACTGGGTGTATTGAAGTTCCGCTGCCTTGTACCATCCTTCATCTGACCCCACAACATTTTAGAAAAGGAGCACAAACAGCACTTGTTTGCCTCTTTGACTACATTGTCTCTGTTGTGAATGTCTGTATCGAAATTGTGCTCAGATCGTGCTCTATCGGGAGGAGGAGGTGTTGGACTGTGAGTGTGATATGGCGATGCTGCACCACCTGCTGTCTCAGATCCCTCAGGACCTGCCCTATGAAACGCTCATCAGCCGCGCTGGAGACCTCTTCGTCCAGTTCCCACCATCCGAGCTGGCCAAGGAAGCAGCTCAGCAACGCAGTGAGCAGTGAGTGACTTCTGCTACTATCGATTCACTTGCACTTTCTTTCTTTTTCTCCTTTATGCATGCCACTTTTTATTTCCGCTTTCTTTGTTATGCTTTGCATTTTGCATTTTAGGTAGCAAGTCACATACATGAAGATTATAGATCACTATATATACACAGTGACTGGACCTTGATCTGCTGATATCAATAAAGATATTTCATTTAGGTGTAAAAATACTTTAATAGCAAGTTTTTATGGAGAAAAAATTGAGCATTGTGAACATCCACAAATATGCTGCTGCAGTCTTGGGCTAATTAATGCAACATCATATCAGCAGTGAAACGCATGTCTTTCAAATTGTATTATCATGTTCGTCATTCAGATTTTAAAGGGCCTACATAACTAAAAACATTTTCCTTGTTTTTGTACAAATAAGAGTTTGCCATATTGTTCAATTCCATATTGCCCATATGTGAACACTGGGCTGCAAAAAACAGTCTGATTTGAATTCCTCATGGTTGTGATGTCACAGCTATGAACAAATATACATATGATGCACCATTTAGCCTTCAGCAGTTAAGGTTTGTCTGTCTAAAAGCAAATTAATCATTGTTGCATTTCAAAGGATCCATAAATCCAAAAGGAGCAGCTGAAGATTATTTTTTTTAAATAAACTTTTCAGTCCCAACCTAAACAGTTTGTTCCACATTTCAGCCCACACTGCTTTTTGAATGTGGCCCAATACGAAGCATCCAATCATAACAGAGGTCATTCACATACAGCAGTCTTAAAGGCATCGTAACAACTATTCTAATAGATAAAGAGAGGGTGTACAAGTTTTTCATACAAGTTTTATGTGCACTGAAAGAAAAAAAATAAATAGTAATCGTGCGTTCTAGACCCCTTTTCTTAGTGCCGGCTAGGGCAAATTGTCGTCTTTCAGTTGTGTTTTTAAAGGTGCAATGCCATCACCAAAAATAACAGTTCATTTTGCCCTCCAGAACCGCCGCCTCTACCTTCAAAGACTTTGAGTTGGCCTCAGCCCAGCAGCGGCCTGACGCGGTGCTCCGGCGGAGGAGGAAAGAGCAGCAGCAGCAGGCTCCAGTCGAGGCTCAGAGGGGCACCATGGCTGTGGTCCAGCCCACCGCCCGCCGCTTCGTCAGACTGGCCGTCATGGGCCTAACCGTGGCCTTGGGAGCCGCCGCCTTAGCTGTAGTGAACTCTGCTCTGGAGTGGGCCCCTAAACTCGACCTCCTTTTCCCTTGAGCGAAGGAGTCGGCTGAATGACCCCTCTCCCTGAGGACTTTAGGAGGGGCTGTTTGCAAAACATTTTTGTGTCTTTTCCCTTTTAATTTATACTTGTGAAGCCAACAAGACTAATAAATATGGTCTTATGCAAAAGTTTGCATACCCCTGGTCAAATTACTGTTTTAGTGATTTTTCTAAGTAAGAGTGGGTAAATATTCTCTACAGAGAACACAAGTTAATGCACAATTGCTGTTCATGAATAGAATTTAGCTTATTTGGGGGAAAAAAATAAAATGTGGCTTGTGACATTTTATATTTTATGTTTTATTTTGTTTCCAATATGTTAAAAAAAATTAAATTGTGCAATAAAATTAGGAGAAAATGCCATGCTTAAGTGGTTCCCTGGAGAGGATGTGTTTCACTTAGAAAATCAACAAAATGTAATTTGACCAGGGGTGTTCAAAGTTTTGCATACAACTGTATTTTATGCTAAGAGAGATTATAACGTCTCCCCATGAGTTTAACCTGATCATCAGAAGTGCTTGACTAGAGTAACTACTGAGCCCTGAGGAGTGTCACTTCTACTTTCAAGAGTTTATGTAAACGTCCACCGAGTCCAGAACCAACGTCTTTTGTGCCCAAATCCATTAAAGAGAAGGTATCCCCTTTATCTTTTAATCATCTCGAGACCAAAAATCTTTTTGTTGAAGTCCCACCTTTGTATTGTTATCACTTTTAATTTGATCTTTTGTAAGTGTAGTGAGGTATCTCTCTGATAAAGCCCATTATTTTCTATATGTGCTCTTCAAATGATCATAATTGAACATTAAAAAGTATAGATTCTTTTTAAATGATCTTGATAATTTGTATGTTGTTCAGAAAAGGAAAAAGAGGTGTGATTTTTGATGTATTTTATGATATAAACATATAGATGTATTCACCCTCAACAGCCGCTGATACTTCTCAGATTGCACAGTACAGCTTACCATGGAAAAAAGTTTTAGCTGCATTTTATGCAATGACCTCCATTTCACACAAATTTAGTAAGTACTAAGAAGACTTGATTTAATTGATTAATCAGTTCTGAAGTGTTGAAATCAATGTGTTGACAGTAAAAAGTGGGATGGCTTTAGTTCCTCAATGACATGGTCGTAGAAACCAATGTAATATAATGGTGCATATAAATACTGTTTTTTTTTTTTAATTTTGAATATCAGCTCAGAATAGATTATATTATTTTCACTAATCACTTTGTAACTGAACTCTGAACTGCATCATGTTGCATTATGTTTATCTTCAAAATTTAACAATGCTTGGTTGTACGCGTTCACAATTTCCGTATGTAATCCATATCTTTACTTAAGCATCACACTGGTATCCATAGTGGATTGTAAGTTATTAATATATTTTTTTTAGTATTGTTTTATTTGCACTGAAATCTGTTCATGTTCGCTGGTTGCACTTTGAGCGATTGTGCTAAGTTGTCTCTGACTTGTTAGTCATTTCAGCTAATTTCATAAAGATGCAAAACGTTCAAAAACAAATAAACTTCTAAACAAAAAAAACGTCATTTTTGCAAGTACACTTTTAGAAATAAAGGTACGAAACTGTCTAAGGGGCAGTTCCCCTCTTGTCACTGGGGTGGAACCCTCAAGGGTACATTTCAGTACATTTAGTCAGGGAACATAACTGTACCATAATCCAAATTATATTTTCTAAGTTGTATCTAAGTTGACTCCACACACACCTTCTTGCTCCAGCTTTATTTTATTATGTTTTAAAACATTAAATCATGAAAAGTTAAAAATATGTACAGCACCAATTCCAAAAAAGTTGGGACGCTGTGTAAGATGTTAATAAATGTAAATAAAAACAGAATGCACTGATTTGCAAATTTCACAGACACATATTCTATTCACAATAGGACATAGAACACATATTAGATATTGAAAGAGACATTTTACCGTATCATGAAAAACATTAACTCATTTAAAGATGACAGCAACGCATCTCAAAAAAGTTGGGATGCCTGGGTCTTCAGGCTCTCAGACCTCACTGCCTTAAAAACAGGCATGATTCTATACTGGAAATCACTGCATGGACTCAGGAACACTTCCAGAAATCATTGTTTGTAAACCCAGTTCGTAGTGCAAACCACAAATGCAAGTTAAATCTGTATCATATGAAGAAGAAGCCATATGTCAACACAATCCAGAACCGCCGCTGTCTTCTCTGGGCCAAAGCTCATTTTTAGGGGATGCTACACACTGGTAGACGTGGCCCTGTCCCAACTTTTTTGAGATGCGCTGCTGCCATCAAGTTCTAAATGAGTCAATGTTTTTCATGAAATGGTAAAATGTCTCACTTTCAACATCTGATATATGTTCTATGTTCTATTGTGAATAAAATATGGGTCTATGAGATTTGCAAATCATTGCATTCTGTTTTCATTTACATTTATTGACATTTTACACAGCATCTCAACTATTTTGGAATTGAGATTGTACTTTTCACCTGGAAAACAACTGGACCTTAAAAGCACTGTTTTGCCTTTGAGGGAACATTTACATTGTTTGTACCTTGATGAATTGAAAATGTACCTGCACAGAACCTTTATTTCTAACAGTGTATTGTGGATTACCGGCTGCTGTACAAGATCTGCCATATTACTAAAAAGACATTATAGGAATTTCCATGTCTTGCACATACACATACAGTACTGTGCAAAAGTCCTAGACCACCGTAATTTATTTAAAATCCAGTCAAAAGTGCCATTAAGTCCAAGTTAATAATTTTTCAGGAGATATTTCTGAAGAGATTAGATATAAAATAATATACCTCCATAAGGAAGAGGGAAGTCAAAGTAAAACATTTGGGGGAAAACTGGAGCTCAAAAAAATTATCAAAAGGTACAGAGAAACTGGGATTCCTAACAACCACCTGGAAGACCTGTTAGACACCAAAACTGTCCCCATCAGATAAACAGCACTTAAAGCTTTCATATTTCAACTGAATATCTGACTTGTTCTTGGTATTTGCTTATCTGTGTTTATTCGTATTTGAAAGACACCAGTTTTTCACCAAATAAAATTATGTTTAACACGCTTAAAGGGGCATTCTGGTCTAAAACTGAGCTTGATATGTTTTTTCGTTCGTGATGAAGTTCTCTGTAGCTCTGCATTGCATCACTCAGTCACTTTTTTTGATAGAATTCACAGCACCAACCCCGCCAACCCCTGGCATGTTTCAGCAGATGTAGCTATGGTCACTTTTTTATTTTGTCCGCAGTGTCCCTTTAAAATTTGCCTTTTAAAGTAAACTGAGTATGTGACGCACAAAGAATCACTCCCCCTTGTACAATCTGAAGGTTTTCCCTGCAATACTGCACATTGGGCCTTCTTTTCCAGTTCAAATAAACTTTAAATATTCTGCTTTTGTTTCTTTTTTATTCATTTTAATAAAAGTTTATTTTATCAGTCAAATATACAAATACATTTGATTAATTTAGGTTTTCAAATAATAATAACAGTTTAAAGGCTTAAACATGTGCATGAGTGCATTTATCAAACAACAAAATCACAGCCTTCAGATCAACTTTTATAGCTCCAGTTACGTCATCCACACCTGATTTTCCTTCATCTGAGACATCAGTTGCTATTAATCAAGTCCTTTTTCCGTAATCCACATTATGGATTATGAATCTCGAAATCAGACCTATTTAAATCTGGATCTAGAATCCAGTGCTGTAAAAGAGTATTTGCCCGTTCCTGATTTCCTCTATCAGACGAAGAGAACCTTATCAAGCACAAAATACATTTTAAATTATTATTTAATTAATTTAAGGAGCAAAGATAGCCACCATGCAAATCACCTGGGTGAAAATGTAGTTCCTCCCCTTTTAACTCAAGCAGCAAATTTAACTGATAATGAGATTCAGCTGGTTGAGTACAGCCAGGCTTGAATCCAGTCCAGCCCTTTTAAATGTAAACCTCACTCATACTGAAGTTTGCTATTAAAACCGACATAGTCGCTACAGAAGCTTTACCACACTAAAGCTGAGGTCAGTGCTCATGATAGGCTCATGGACCAGTATCAAGGCAGAAAACACTGCTAACCAAAACAAACGCCAGTGCTTACCTTACATTTGCAAGAAAGCACCTGGACAATGTTTGGGATACTGTTGTACAGACAGATGAGTCTTTAATGCCAGTTCTGCATTTCACAATAGGACCATTACACCCGCATTCAAACATGGTGGTGGTAGTATCATAGTGTGGGTTGCTGTTAAAGGTGACAAAGCAAGCTATTCATTTTAAGGAAGGAAATTACTTTTTCACATGGATGACTGATATGTTGGGTAACTTTGCTCCATAAATCAATTAGACAATTAACAAATGTGTTTTGAGTTGAGTGTTCACTGTGACAAATATGCAGTAATGGGGAAAACCTGGAAAGGTCCAAATATTTTTTCACAATACTGTATCTAACTCTGCAGATACTGTCTACAAGCATTTGCTCATTATAATCCATGTAAGTGCTTCTGGGTGTCAATGTAATGTACACTACCGTTTAAGTCCCTCATTCTCCAATATTTCCCTGTTTTTTCTTAAATATGTTCCTGAGAAAGGTTCTAAGAAAAAGTCTACGTCAGATTCATGACATGTTTTTAAACCGCAGAACTGTTCGCACCTTTGTGCTCTAGAGTGTGTGTAGATCCTATTCTTACCTAAGAACAAATCCCAGATAAGAAAACACTGGTAAATGTAAGAATCTGCGTAAAAACGTAAGTGGTTTTAAGAAGAAAATTCATCTTAACAATGGTTGTTTAATGAGTCCTAATGTTTTCAACATTATAAAACCATTTTTTTGCAAATACATAAATAATTAAATGACTAAGAAGGTGCATAACAAAGAATAAAATTATACCTAACAAACGAATATCCAGAACAGCTTGTATTTCAATTGGTGTTTAAATTACGAGGCCAATAACTTGACAAAAAAGCATTGTTTTTCCCAGCTTCAAATACGAAACATAAAATTGATTTTTGTATCTAGTTTATGATAAATTAATCTATATTTTACAATTTATTTGTGTGATTGAGAAGTATTTCCAAACTTTTGGATGATTGGGTCAACTGGTTGGCTACTTTGCCATCTTAAGTAATAGCACAGAGGAAAATCCCTAATATCTGGACCTGTGAGAACTCTGGCTTTACACAGTGAAACTTTGAGGCAACTTTAGTTGCTCGAAACCTAGATGAAACTAAACTGCACTTGAGTTGCATAACACACTGAAAACAGCAAATGAAAAAGAAACAAAAACAAAGATTGGTTATTGGGTGGTTACAAAAAGGAGATATGGTTGGTACTTTTTTGATTTTGACAGTTTCCTGAGCCATAACTACAAAAAAAGTGAGTTTTTCAAAGATAATGTTTCTGTAAACAGCTGGTTAACTAGCCAGATAACACAGACAGCTGTTTAAAGAGCTGCTTGTGGTACCATTTATTATTATAATATAGATATAAAAAACAAATATTAATGACAGCTGAAAAAAATATACAAATACAATCAAATTGATGCAAATATGTGAGTTACACCTCCTGGATAACTGTATAGTGAAAATGATACGGTGCCTCAATAAAGAAGAGCTGCTAATCTGGCTGCTCATTAGAGCCAAGCAACTTGCATATTGCATGGCAATTATGTTGGAGACAACTCGCAACACGCAACTAGTTGCATGAAATTTTCACCATGTAAAGCCAGCCTAATTAATGCTATAATGTTGACTGTGCAAGAACAGACCCACTCTGGCCATCAATATATCCAAAAAACAGTTTGGTCATCGATTTATCCAAGCAAAATTTGGTCCCTATATGATATTCTTGTTTGTAAACTATGTGTTAGGAAGATTACGAATTCTATGATGATGCACCCACCAATGATTCACAATTCCAATGATTACCCTCTCAGTAAAGCTTCGCTCTGCTAGTCGCAGGACTGCATTCCTCCCACATTTCCAAGGTGTTAGATACGGCGTGTGATGGTAGGAGAGGAGACAGAGATCAGTGACAGTTTTGGCACTTTGGGTGACAAAGGGCTCCATTGACGCGACACCTGCAGCCGCCTGATGTGTCTCCTTGACCCTGAGGAGACAGAACAGGTCCACATTAACTCAAGATAAGATCTGTGCAGTAAATTGGATTTAATGGGTAACATTAAAGAGTAGCAAACACAAAATCTACATATTTTCTAAGGTATTCTAAGCATGTTTTCATATGTCAACTAAGCTAAAACTATAATCATAATTATACATCTTTAAATAGCACTTTTTACTTTCATCAAGTTCATCAAGAGCTACACAAACAGGACATATTTCTAGACACAGGCAAGTGTGAACAGTTTAATTTTTCAATCTGGATTTTAAAACACCTATCAAGTTTGCATTCCTAACATCCTTTTGAACACTATTCCAGAGTTTAGGTGCTATATAATAAAATGATCTTCCACCAACTGAGCTGTTAAGAGATCCTAGGAGTTTCCAATAAGTCTGCTGGAGATATGCGAAGTGGTCTGGATGGGCTATAACGCTTCAACAAAACTGACATGAGAAAAGTTATCAGTGTTGACGTATAATTACCTGAGGCCCCCATCTAGCCTGTTTGGTCACCCAGCAGATCTCCGTCTTGCACATGAGGCAGCAAATCCAGTCGCAGCCGTCTTTCTTCTGCACAATCACCTTGCATTTAGGGCAGTGCATGGCTTCTCCGTTCTGCAGCAGCATCTGGAGCAGACGCCAGGCAAAGCTGGTTAAGTATCATACAGTTTGAGGCGTAACTGTTCACGTATGATAGTGGGGAGGTGGAAGGGTAGCTGTTAGCAAATATGCTAATAGCTTTAGCTTGCGAACCTTAACTTTTACAGCTATTTGCAAGGAGATAATTGTAAAACAGCAATCAACAGGTCAACATAGCATCATTCCACACTTACTCACCTAAGGCCTGTCCAGTCACATCATGCATTTCCATTTAAAAACGTAAATAAAACTTCAATTTAATTCTTGCAGCCATGCGAAATTTCAAAAATGTGCTCCAGTTAGTTTTCCAGTTATGATTTTTTTAAGTTTGCCCTCTGCATCTTAAACATTGAGTTTAACTGATTTCAATGAATGACTGAACTGATCTGAAATATTAACTGATCCCTGATTTTGATTTTATCTTCATAAATTGACACAATACGTTCATTTAATGGACAAGATCCTTTTATTATTGCCAGATTGCAATATTTCAGTCAGTTCTCAAAATTATTTTGTCAAAAATCTATTTTAAGACCTGTATGTTCTCAAAAGGGACTGATGGTATTTCCTTCAAACTCCTGAATAAATTCAAATCTTCCTGAATTTAAAAAAAAATATTTTGCATGGTCGCATGAATTCAGATGGAGGAGATGATTCTACAACAGTGTCAATGGGGACAGAATAATCAAACATGGCACACTGACCGAACAATTCTTTGTTTGTTTGTTTGGTCGTTGTGCTCTGATCTTACAGGTGTTGATGATGTAATTATTTATTACAAAAACTGGGCACAGGAAACCGGTGGTGGTTGCTTCCCCACTTCCCCTCCTTAGACTACACCATTTCTTAGGGTTACAGGCTGATTGTGGACGTGTCTTGGCTTACTAACCTCAAGCATCTCGGTGGTCTTTCTGGCTGCAGTGTCGTTCTCTGCTCTGACACGAAGGTCGTCTTGGTACTCTTTACAGTTCATTCCTTTATGAATGGCCTAGAGAAGACAAACCAAGCCCGTTCATGAAACACAAGTTCAGTGAAAAATCTAATCTACATAATTTTTCTTCAACCCAGATGAAGTGAATTAGCCAAAATGGACAAAAGTACTTCACAACAGGATTAGCAGCCATCATGCAGTCTTAATTTTGTATGCACTTCTGCATAATCAAGTGTATTAGAGATTACCTGACACAGTGTGAGGCAGGTGTGATGATTTAGACATGCAGTTTGTACAGCAATACCTGCTGCCTATAAGCTTCCATTAGATATCAGCTTTATTATATCAGGTCAATTAGCCTCGTAACTCCAGTGTAAAACTAAAACTTCAGACACCAAACACATCTCAGCTGATCAAATACATTTGGGGTAAGACCCAAATTTCATTTTCACTTTAACCTAAAATTTACTTTAAACATTTAAGAGCAGATTAGCAGATCTCATTTTCATTAACACATTCAGACTATGATTCCTTATTAGCAGTGTTAGTATGGGATGGAAATGACAGGAAAATATCTGAAGGACAATTAAACTAAACAAACATTACATCAGGTGACAGTTTGCTGTTGCAGTATAGAAAACTACTGAGGGTTTTTTGTAAAAGGAGACGGTTGGGATTTCCAGGTCACCTTGCAGAGGAGGCAGTTTGTCTCGTTGCAGATGCCACAGGTGAACTCGTTCACGTCGTCCTCAAAGATGCACCAGCCAGCGCAGTCCGGGGTCTTGCAGTGGTAGCTGTTCTCGCTGCGAGATTCGGCAATGCTCAGCCTCAGTTCCAAGAATTTCTGGTACTCCTCCTGTGACAGAAGCTTTAAGAGAAATCTCGATCAGCAGCATCCTGGGATACCAGTAATAATAAAGGAATAATTTACTTAGAAACACTATTTCTGGCAGTATGGCCAAACATTTACGTCATGGTATCATTTAATTTAAGCTTTTTATTGTGGTATGTTTCTTCACTGGTCGAATTTCTTCCGAGTTATACCAGTATGCCACAAATAAGTGCAGATACTGTTCTTCAAATTTCCCAATCCACCTTAAATGGGACAGCAGATACTGTTAAGCGTCTTTACAGTTGCCAGAATGCAACTGCTGCTTCATTTAAAGTGGATCAGCATTTAAGGTCAACCAGTATACCGGATGAACCGGTAGGAGAAATTTTATTTCTGATGAATTTGATGAAAAAGAGGGGTGTAACGATTTATTCAAATCAATTCTGTCTCGTTACAGCAAAAACGAGGAGTGCCTAAAACATGCCTTATGTTAAAAAGTTCATTTTTCAATTTTCAGTTCATTACAGTATTACATGTTATAAAAGTGCAATTTTTGAAACAAAAGTTGTTCTTCATAATGATCCTATCCTGATCTAATGCTCCAGCTACAAGTTAATATTTTAGCCCCAAGCTAACTTGCTAGCCACAAGCTAACATGCTAGTCATAATATACCAATACAATATGTTACACTGCGATAGGAGTCACAGCTATGTGATTTGCTGTACTGTTACATCCCTAATGAAAAATTATTGCTATCTGTACAGTTTTGTTTTGCAGAAAGAAAAAACATCCTTTCTGTTTTTGCCTGTCACATTTTTCTTATTTCATTACATTGAAACAAACAAAGAAGACAGTGCAGACTCAAACCTGTCTAGACAGAATGTAAATGTAAACTATATTTAAACAGATATTAAAATTATAAATGATATTAAAATGATGAAAATGACAAAATGATATTAGTAACTTTCAACTTCTGGTAATTAAAAGCAATTCACTGACAGCCCTGAAGGTCCACAGAGTTTCAGTGTCAAACCTGGGGCTCATTAGTTGAAAAATACAGGAGTTTGGTTACCATTTCAATGTAAAACTGTTAGAAGAGGGTCTTACTGTTTTAATCTCTCGGTCCTGAAGCGTGCAGGCGCAGGAATATGCATCATCTAAGTAAGGACACTTTACTTCTGCATCCGTACAGTTCAAAATGGTTTGTTTCAGACATTCTCTGATTAGAAAACAAGGGGAAAAAAAACTCATATTGAGCTGCATTTATTGTTTCCACTTAATAATCTTGAAGAGTTCAAAATGAATGGGAGCCAATGGACCTTTTATGCAAAAGTGTATCTGTAAATGACTCATTTGCTACCAAGTCCATGTACCATTTGCTACCCAGTCCATTCAGTCCATATATGGAAACTATGCTGCAACTGTTTCTGTGATGTCACATTTACACAAATTTGCCTTGTTTAGCTCTGCTTATTTATAATGAAGTTCTTGGGAATGTTTCAGCTCTGAGTGTTTTCTGAATGAGGCGCAATACAGGACAGCCAATTAGAATAGAGCTAATTTACATCAATTCTAAAGCACAGCAACAGAATTAGCCTTTTTAATTCTTAGGCATAAGGAGAGGCAGGAAAATAGTCTAAAAATGAATTATGACCATTTTTGGTGCATGAAACTACACCAGGGTTCTAAATGGACCTCAAGGGGAAAAAATAAAATACAAGAAAAATGGAACATATGAGCCCTTTAATGAATGTTTGGGGTGGTTTGGTTCCATTCAGCCCCGTTCTGCAGTGATGTTCTGGTAAAACGGGATGAACAGAAAGTGGGCAGGCTCCCTCCAAACTGTCTCTGGTGTAATTATTCTTCCTCAGACAGTACCTGCAAAAGCTGTGGAGGCATTCTCGGAGTGTGGCACCCTCTCCTGGCATGACTGGGCAATAGCAGATCGTGCACTCCAGCTCCTCCATGTTGCTCACAAGGTCATGAGCATCGATCTCCAGCAGATTGTAAAAGTTCTTCTCCCGTTCTTCGATAATGGACTAAATCAAACAAAAATGAAAAAATACAAATAGAGATAATCACTAAATCATTCCACCAGTGTTTCAACTGCACATGAAGAGCAGTTCTACACATGAAGTGTAATTTTCCGTTTTATATGTATGTTTCCTGCTTCTTTCCTGACACTGAAAAATGCATAACATGTATGTAATGTCTGTTCTGACAAGAAATTAAATAAATTAAATAAATGAAAGATTGGTTTCACAGCACTGTATGTTACATATCTGTATAACATATGTGTAATGCATTGTACTGTAAAACCTATATGTTGCATATAGCACCGTATATGTAATACCAAGCCTCATTATTACATCTTTACTGTTAGAAAAGGTTCTGTACAGAGTATTCAGCTTACCTGTTCATACTGTAAACTAGCCAGCTGTTCTTGGTGAAGTCTCTGGATCTCTTCTTCATCTGGTTGGTACAAATCTGGTATTTCGTAGTTTGGGGGTCTGTCTGCACTACACATTTCACACCCTGGCCGAGTGGGTTTGTTCACGTAGGTGCACTGCACGCATGCCCAGCCAACCTACAGCACAATCCCATTAAAATAAACGAGACGACAATGACAGAAACACTATCAGTACAAAGTAACGTCTTACTAATGAACAGGTGATAACAAATAGGATACAGTGAAGTATGCTGCGTTCTTGTCTGGCATGGCCTGCTTTGGGTATGCAGCAATGTGGTCATAAAGATCTATATAACACCACCTTTGCCAACACATCAAACTTTACCGGCTTAGGTTGAACTGGTGGGGGACATCTAGGTTTAGGAAGCAATGGAGGTTGTTTCCTTCTTGCTCCTAACTCCTCCGCTCCTCTGGCTTGCAGGGTGAATGTTTCAATGTTCTCAATTATACCTTAAGGCAGCAATGAAAGCAAGTCAGTCAAACATTTTGCTCTACACTGGTTTTACTTGACAGCTGATTTCAGCAATTGAGCAACAGTGGAATCATCAGCGCTGAATGGCCTTTTAAGCCAGTTCAATGTGCATGTCATAAACCAGCGCCGTAAAAATGTATGCAGCAGTGATTAACTGTGTTACAGATCTCTGCCTAAACTAGATACACAGAATAATGATCATTTATCAAGCTACATATTACACTATAGAAAATGAAAGTCAAGTACAGCACTGTGCAGAAGGTGACTGCTTTATCTGGGCAGTACGTGTTTTTGCTTGGGAAAAAGAGCAGAATAAATACAAATGAACAGTAATAAAATAAATTGTGGTTAAAAATGTGGTGCATTTAGCTTAACCATTTCCAAAGCTCTCCTAGAGGAAGCCCAGTATTTCAAGTTACCATCCATCACCTAGTTTATCCAATTATCTAATCTAATCAATCCCTCACTCAAATAAATCAGTTGTGCTGCTGACAGAATTTAACATGAAGTGGCTGGGTGTCCAGACACCAAATCTTCTAACCGCCTCACAACGTATCAATACCTTTTTAAAAACTAAACATTTGTGTTACTTTTTATTTAAAATCCTGGGTTTATGACATTCTAAGACTTTATCATTCAGAAAGTACAGGGAAACTATATATAGCCCTGCTGGTGACATTCCTACTTGATGATGCATGGCCACAATTTACTAACACATGGAAATGGCATCCACTGCGTCCACGGATTAGCTAAGTCAGAGCCACAACTTAGAAAGGCGTGAGAATGAGATAGTTAAGTCCCAGCCACAACTTAGTAAGGCGTGGGAATGAAATAGTTAGTTCAGAGTCAAAGCTTAGTAAGACGTGGGAATGAGATAGTTAAGTCAGAGCCACAACTTAGAAAGGCGTGAGAATGAGATAGTTAAGTCCAAGCCACAACTTAGTAAGGCGTGAGAATGAGATAGTTAAGTCCAAGCCATAACTTAGTAAGGCGTGGGAATGAGATAGTTAAGTCAGAGCCACAACTCGGTAAGGTGTGGGAATAAAATAGTTAAGTCAGAGCCAAAACTTAGTAAGACATGGGAATGATAGTTAATTCAGAGCCACAACTTAGCAAGACGTGGGAATGAGATAGTTAAGTCAGAGCCACAACTTAGACTGGCGTAAGGATTAGACAGTACAGTCAGAGCCACAACTTAGTAAGGCATGGGAATGAGATAGTTAAGTCAAAGCCACAACTTAGTAAGACGTGGGAAGCAAATATTTAAATCATGGCCACCACTTAGTATAGCATGGGAATTACTTAATCACTTCTGTGCCACACTTTACTAAATTGTGGCCACAAATTAACTATCACAACTTATTATTTCTGAGTTATAGGAGACTGAAACAGAAGTCTGGACACCGGAGACTTTTCACAGTGCTGTATATAAATGGAGAAAAACAATCGGAGAGGGTTTGCTACCTCCTATCCGTCTGTCCTCCTCCTCCTGCTTCTGCTGCTCACGGCTGAAACTGGCAGCCTGGGCGGATCTGATGTAGAGGAAGGCCTGGTCGTTGTCCTCTGTCACGTTGTGACTGAACAGCGTGTCTGTGTCCTGAGCGAGACGTCTCCCGATAACCCAACACTGCAGAGACGGATGGAAGCGGTAGTCACGATTTATCTGTAAAGGAATAAACTACATTGTAATGTTACAAACAAAAACACTGATGTTAAACGTTAGAGGTCTAGGGTTACTGATTATTATAGGGTTATGATTATTACATTTTTTGTTGATTTGCATTATGCAATTAGTTAAATATAATTGCAATTGCATAATTAACTATATGGTTACATGTATAATTATATTTATGATTGATTTTCATTCAGTATAGACTGGTTTGAGTCTGCACTTCTGATTTTCTTGTTTCAATGTAAAAATACAAAATGAGTTGTTTCTCTTACCACAAATAAGACTGTCCCAACAATAACATTTATGAGTGACAAACTCATAAACACTGCCACAATCATTATCCAGGAATGAAAGAAATAGTTATAATATTGATGAATTCATCAACTTGGAATATAAAAAAGAAGAATGATGATTTTTACAGATGATTTTAATGTGTGGGTGAAAAAGAGGTGCAGGCTGCAACAGGAAGGCATGTGACTGGATAAAAAGTTTACCATTTTACACATAAAGCCTTCACTTTCCCAAAAGACTTAAAAATGACTAATAGTAGTCCAATTTGAAGTCATGCAAAACAATGAAAAAAAAACATCACACAGTAAACAAAACATTCCATGAGGTCTGAGGAGGGTTAAACTGTTGGTGAATATATTTTTTCCAATTTCACACTCACAGTTTTCACTCTATATACACCACTAACGCACCAGTATCAGATTTAAGCCCTGGAATGTCACTTTTCCATCCACCCGATTCTCTTTAGACTTGATAAGCTGTGAGTTAAAGCAGAGAGAAGAAGAATGCAGTTTGACACGTCTGCTAAAGCTGTAAAGTTACATGACGCATCTCCAACGCAAAACAGAGCAAATTTACAAGACGTTTCAAGCAAAGAGAAACTAATCCACAATCAATGAAACCTCATAAGGAAGTTCTCAGAACGCCACACAGAGAAACCAAGTGAACTGTTTATCTTAACCACTACAGCTCATCCATTAGGCTCATCTAAAAATCTGTACAGCAGCTGTGTGTATACTGAGCTGCTGTACAGACTGGCTCCAGGCTTGGATGTGAGGTTCTGGGGAAGAAAAAGCTTTAACTGGTGTAGAAGTAGAACCTTCACATCACAATGGTGGTTCTTTAAACGTCACTGTTCTGAAAGGTTCTTTATACCAGTGACGTAGCAAGAATTCTATGTTAGGAGGGCATAGTTACAGGCTGGAGGGGCCACGACTTAGTGAGGCGTGGGAACAAGATAGTTAAGTCAAAGCCACGACTTAGTAAGGCATGGGAATGAAATACTTAAGTCAAAGCCACGACTTAGTAAGGTGTGGGAACGAGATAGTTACGTCAAAGTCACGACTTAGTAAGGCATGGGAATGAAATACTTAAGTCAAAGCCACGACTTAGTAAGGTGTGGGAACGAGATAGTTACGTCAAAGTCACGACTTAGTAAGGCATGGGAATGAAATACTTAAGTCAAAGCCACGACTTAGTAAGGTGTGGGAACGAGATAGTTACGTCAGAGCCACGACTTAGTAAGGCATGGGAATGAAATACTTAAGTCAAAGCCACGACTTAGTAAGGTGTGGGAACGAGATAGTTACGTCAGAGCCACGACTTAGTAAGGCGTGGGAATGAGATACTTAAGTCAAAGCCACGACTTAGTAAGGTGTGGGAACGAGATAGTTACGTCAGAGCCACGACTTAGTAAGGCATGGGAATGAAATACTTAAGTCAAAGCCATGACTTAGTAAGGTGTGGGAACGAGATAGTTACGTCAGAGCCATGACTTAGTAAGGCGTGGGAATGAGATAGTTAAGTCAAAGCCATGACTTAGTAAGGCGTGGGAATGAAACAGTTAAGTCAAAGCCACGACTTAGTAAGCCGTGGGAATGAGATACTTAAGTCAAAGCCACGACTTAGTAAGGCAAGGGAATGAGATAGTTAAGTCAAAGCCACGACTTAGTAAGGCGTGGGAATGAGATAGTTAGGTCAAAGCCACGACTTAGTAAGGTGTGGGAACGAGATAGTTACGTCAGAGCCACGACTTAGTAAGGCATGGGAATGAAATACTTAAGTCAAAGCCACGACTTAGTAAGGTGTGGGAACGAGATAGTTACGTCAGAGCCATGACTTAGTAAGGCGTGGGAATGAGATAGTTAAGTCAAAGCCATGACTTAGTAAGGCGTGGGAATGAAATAGTTAAGTCAAAGCCACGACTTAGTAAGGCGTGGGAATGAGATAGTTAGGTCAAAGCCACGACTTAGTAAGGTGTGGGAACGAGATAGTTACGTCAGAGCCACGACTTAGTAAGGCATGGGAATGAAATACTTAAGTCAAAGCCACGACTTAGTAAGGTGTGGGAACGAGATAGTTACGTCAGAGCCATGACTTAGTAAGGCGTGGGAATGAGATAGTTAAGTCAAAGCCATGACTTAGTAAGGCGTGGGAATGAAATAGTTAAGTCAAAGCCATGACTTAGTAAGCCGTGGGAATGAGATACTTAAGTCAAAGCCACGACTTAGTAAGGCAAGGGAATGAGATAGTTAAGTCAAAGCCACGACTTAGTAAGGTGTGGGAATGAGATAGTTAGGTCAAAGCCATGACTTAGTAAGGTGTGGGAATGAGATAGTTAAGTCAAAGCCACGACTTAGTAAAGCGTGGGAATGAAATACTTAAGTCAAAGCCACGACTGAGTAAGGCGTGGGAATGAAATAGTTAAGTCAAAGCCATGACTTGGTAAGGTGTGGGAATGAAATACTTAAGTCAAAGCCACGACTTAGTAAGGCAAGGGAATGAGATAGTTAAGTCAAAGCCACGACTTAGTAAGGCGTGGGAATGAAATACTTAAGTCAAAGCCACGACTTAGTAAGGCAAGGGAATGAGATAGTTAAGTCAAAGCCACGACTTAGTAAGGCGTGGGAATGAGATAGTTAGGTCAAAGCCACGACTTAGTAAGGTGTGGGAACGAGATAGTTACGTCAGAGCCATGACTTAGTAAGGCATGGGAATGAAATACTTAAGTCAAAGCCACGACTTAGTAAGGTGTGGGAACGAGATAGTTACGTCAGAGCCATGACTTAGTAAGGCGTGGGAATGAGATTGTTAAGTCAAAGCCATGACTTAGTAAGGCGTGGGAATGAAATAGTTAAGTCAAAGCCACGACTTAGTAAGGCGTGGGAATGAGATAGTTAGGTCAAAGCCACGACTTAGTAAGGTGTGGGAACGAGATAGTTACGTCAGAGCCACGACTTAGTAAGGCATGGGAATGAAATACTTAAGTCAAAGCCACGACTTAGTAAGGTGTGGGAACGAGATAGTTACGTCAGAGCCATGACTTAGTAAGGCGTGGGAATGAGATAGTTAAGTCAAAGCCATGACTTAGTAAGGTGTGGGAATGAAATAGTTAAGTCAAAGTCACGACTTAGTAAGCCGTGGGAATGAGATACTTAAGTCAAAGCCACGACTTAGTAAGGCAAGGGAATGAGATAGTTAAGTCAAAGCCACGACTTAGTAAGGTGTGGGAATGAGATAGTTAGGTCAAAGCCATGACTTAGTAAGGTGTGGGAATGAGATAGTTAAGTCAAAGCCACGACTTAGTAAAGCGTGGGAAAGAGATAGTTAAGTCCAAGCCACAACTTAGTAAGGCGTGAGAATGAGATAGTTAAGTCCAAGCCACAACTTAGTAAGGTGTGGGAATGAGATAGTTAAGTCAAAGCCACGACTTAGTAAGGCATGGGAATGAAATACTTAAGTCAAAGCCACGACTGAGTAAGGCGTGGGAATGAAATAGTTAAGTCAAAGCCATGACTTGGTAAGGCGTGGGAATGAAATACTTAAGTCAAAGCCACGACTTAGTAAGGCATGGGAATGAGACAGTTACATTAAATCCATGACTTAGTAAAGTGTAAGAATGAGATAGTTAAGGCAAAGCCACGACTTAGTAAGGTGTGGGAATGAGACAAGTTGTAGCCACCACTTAGTAAGGCTAAGATGACAACCAAGTAGCTTCCTGCATTGATTCAGTAAACAATATATTTGATTGCTTTCATTAGCTTCCACATCCAAGCCCCCTCTCGCTGGGGGGAAAAGTGGTCTAATCTAGCTGTGCATGGAGTAAATCTATTCCTTGCTGCAAAATCAGTTTCCTTGGGTGGAATTTGATCTATCCATACCAGAAACCTCTCACAGTTTGTGGGTCTTACTTTAACAAAGCAGACAAAACTGGAGCACTGCCGTTTATAGAAAACCATCACTAGACTTATGAACAGTCGGGCGCGTATGACATAAAAAAGTACATGACTCATGTACAACAAGTTTTAACTGATAATACAGAAGACACAAACTCATGCTCTACAATACTCACTCACTCACTCTCTCTCTCCCTAAAATGATAACACAAATAATAGTAAAAATGACTACAAAAAGGTTTAGTCATATAGACAGCTAAAAAAAGCAAAAGTAAATATATAGACATAATAATAACATATATATATATATATATATATATATATATATATATATATATATGTACATATATATACAAACATAATAACATTAATGATGATAATAATAGTAGTAATATTAAGAGTAATAGTTTTTTAAGCATAAAATAATTGCTCTAAATCCCATGTGTCAAACACAAGGCCCGTGGGCCAAGTCAGGCCCGTGACAGTCCTATTTGGTCTGCGAAATTATTTAAATTTTCTATTGTTATTAGCCCGCTTCACCTTGAGATGCACTACAGTCCCCAGGATGCACTGTAACGTAGTGTGTGTTCCAGCCCCCCTTACCCCAGCAACAATCTATGGGCCAGCGGTTACACAAAAAGAAATGATGCTTGGCATCTAGTTCAAGCAAATAGGCAGTTAAAATAGATTGACCACATAAAAAGGTAAACAGAAAAACTGAGTTGGGAGTGTGAGAAGGAGCCACACCACTGTACATTAACTGAACACATCTTGGACAGAAAGGAGAAAATCTAAAGAGAAAATATGTAGGTAGAGCTTTTAAATTGTGTGTGAAAAAGTCTGGGACCATCTGGACTGACACAGTAGTATAAATGAAGCTTCAATAAGGCACCATTTCCATCTGGCCTGTGTTCCTTCTTGGGGCCTGAAGTGGTCAGTAGATGAAAATTTCCTGATCTAACAGCTGACGGCAGAGCCAAGTTACTATCAGGGATGGACGATCAGAATACTGTCGTATCCCTTATGAAAGTCTTTCACTAAACTACCTTAAAAAGGTCTACACACTTAAAAATTATGGTTCTTTGAGGGTTCTTTAGTAAAGAAAATTCCATATAGAACCATGAACACTCAAAGAACCCTTTCTATGATTAAACGGTTCTTTGCATCATGAAAGCGTTCTTCAGACTGTTAGAGAATGTGCTGTCTATGGTTCCTTATAGAACCTTGTTGAAAAGGGTTCTATATAGCACCAAAAAGAGTTCTTCTACTGTTGCAATGTCAGGCTTGTTACAATAGAAGAACCCTTTTTGTTGCTATACAAAAGATCAAGGAAGTACAGTAGTCCAACATGACACAACGCAAGACACGCATTGTTGCACAACCTCTTTTCACTTCCCAAAAAGGAAACAGTGAATTTAATTGTACTGCTGACATGAATGAGACCCAGGGCCTCCAAAACTTTCTCTACAGATCAGCAATCTTCTCCACATCTCATGCACCTTCAGAGGAAATGGTGGAGATGGTAGAATAGTGGCCAAAGCAATCCTTTATTTTGAAATCCTAACTGTAATGCATCCTATGGCTTGTTATTCAGTAACTACATGGACTGCAATGCACACTGGCTGACTTATTCTTAGGTTATAAAAATGTGTAATAAATATTTCATGCAGGTGATATGGCAAAAACAAAAAAATCACAATATTTTAAGATCATATTTCACAATAGAAGAGATGCAAGAGATGTCTTTTTTTATTCAGATTATAAAAAAACAACAACAACTTAAGAAAATAATCAATTATTTGTACAATTAAATTAAGTGAATAAAATAACTGCATAATGTACTCTTGCTTACCTTTTCTTTCAGCTCTGCGACTGTCATGCCTGGATTTACCAGCATTGTGATAGGTATGTTGACATCAGACAGTGCATCCTCAACCCCAACTCTCAGCCTGCAGTTACACAGCAGGTTATGTCATTTAAATGGGATTTTTCCAAATTTCTGTGTAATAAAATTGCTAAGAAGTAAATAAAATCATTCAGACTGGTTTGGTGTGGAATGTTTCAATAATAAAGAAACTACAGAATTGTGCAGAGTGGTGTTAACAGGAACCAGACGCCTAAAGAGTCTCATGTTCCCTCACAAAAAGTTATTACATGAGATGATTATGAATACATTGCCTGATGACCGACACATTTTATGATAGCTTTGAGAAGATTTTTGCCTAAAATTTTAAAATCACGAATTAACTCATGGCGCTGAGGTACACGCAGGAATGTATAGCAAAACAGAACATAAAGAAAATGTATTTTTTCACATTTACCACCATTTTACCATCATCATTACATATAAAAACACATGTAGGTGATTTTGGATGGTAAATAAAATGGCTATATTTGTGTTGTAGACAGGGTGACCCCTGGTTCTTATCATCACCACTGTAAAGAAATCTGAGCGAGTATGTTCCTCTACAACAAATTTCACATCAAATCACTCTGAATGACTGTCTTTCAGTCTTAACGATTGAATTAAGTTTAAAAAATGTTAAAAATTGTTCGAATTCCCCTTTAACTCTCAGAATCTCTCCTCACTCTACAGGGAATCAAAGATGAGTGCTGTTTTTTGATAACACACCTGAAGGACTCTCGAGAATAGGCTTCAGGACTGAGCTGCACAGACACAGGCACGTTTAGTGGAAGGAGCTCGTCTAGACATCTTACTGCCTCTGCTTTGTTGCCTGTATTGATAGCCTCAGTAAGCAGGCAGGCCACGTCCTCCGCTGGAAGATAACAAAAGATATCATACAAATCTAATCAGACATTGATGCATTATTATATTACAGGGTCTTCAGGGCGTACAGAAATACCACTAGTGAAAGTAAAATCTATTTAATTATTACTACACTAAAAAATTCAATGCTCCATCTTTGAAAAGTTTGCAACCTGGTTGCCTTAAAATCCTAAGTAAGTTAAAGGCCACATATCAAACATTTTTCTTGTATTTTATATTTTCACCCTGAGGTCCACTTACAACGTTTTTGGTATTTTTATACCCGAAATCCATAATAATTTATCCGATCTCTCTTGTCCCTTGAAATTAAACAGACTGTTTTTCTTACTGTACCTTTAAGACTGTATGTGAATGAGTTCTGTTCTGATAGGCTGATTTGTGTCTCATTCAAAAAGGAGTTGAGGCTGAAACACTCCTTATAACTTCAGTGAGATTGGGTGGGGCTAAACAGCTACAGGCTGAATAGGTGGATGTATGAAAATGGTACATCACAGAATCAGTGAATTCAAAACGATCTGTTTAAGTTAGTTTCCACATTTGGACTGTATGAACTGGGAAGTGAACGGTATGGTTCAAAACTTTAGCAATGTTTATAGATTCATCAAAGTCTTTAATTTTAAAAAAAAATCTGTTCTGCACATTGTGGGCTCTTTAAGACAGTGGTGCCCCACCCTGGTCCTGCAGGATCCCTGCCCTGCACATTTGTGTGCTTTCTTGCCAAAACACACCCACTTCAACTCAGGAAGGGCTTGTTAATTAGCAGATTAGTTGGATCAGACGCATTGGGAATAGGGAATACAATAAAATGTGCAGGGCAGGAAGTCCTCCAGGACCAGGCTTGGGAACCACTGCTTTAAGAGAACAATAACCTGTGTTTTACATTCAGCTGACATTATCTGAAGTTAAATTAATTTAAAAATTTAAGGGAACCAGGTTAAATATATTCGGCCTTATTCACCAACATCTTCTTAAGTTAAATTATTTCTCGAGAAAGGTCTTAAGAAAAAGTCTACGTCAGATTTTTGACAAAATTATTCTCACCTTTGTGCTCCTGAGTGTGTGTAGATTCTGTTCTTACTTAAGAACAAATCCCAAATAAGGATTCTTAAGAAGAGTTGGTGAATGAGGCCCATTGTTTTACAGTGTATGACTAGAGATGAGATCAGCACACGCTCAGTGTATGATTAGCTTAGTCACCAGAAAAGGACATATAAATATACAGTACTGTACTCTAAGATACTTTACTGTAATTGTAAAACTTCAGTAAACTACACCAATAATCAGAATTACAACAGTAACAGCTGTGAAGGTCAGTCATGTTGCCAGAACCTTACTGTACACAACTACAGCTCATGTTTAACCTCTATGATGAAGCGAGAGATCCTGCATCAGGGTCTGCTATCCCAGCTGATTCACTGACCCACCTCTCATATACGGTCGTATGCAAAAGACTGGCCTCCCCTCATCAAATGATTTGTTTGTTGCTGATTTTTAAGAGTAAATGAGTTAACATCCTCTGAAGAGAACACACTTCTGCACTTTTTAATGCACAACCAATGTTTATTTGAATTTAACATAATGGAAAAAAGACATAAAATGTGGCCTGTGAAAAAGTTATAGCACATTTTATATTTTAGGTATTATTTTTTCCCCAATAGGCTACATTCAGGAAATAAACAGACATCATACAGTAAATTTGCAGAAAAATGCCATATTTAACTGTGTTCTCTGTAGAGGATGTGTTAACTAATTTTCACGTAGAACATCAATAAAATTTATTAAAGTGTGTTCAAATTTTGCACACAACTATATAGACAAAGTCATACTAATCTATTGTGTGGTTACAGAGAAAACAATATTTCCTATTTATTACTGACACAGATTACTACAGTAGACTATGTTTGGTACAAAGATGCTGAACGTGTGCTTGTATGTGTATATTTTGTTCTTTATTTGTTCGGTATACTGCCTGATTCTCATTATTTTTTATGTTTGGCTTGTCTTGCTTTTCACTTTATTTGTTTGCCTTATCGACTGTCTGTCTGCTTTTAAAAAGACACTTTAAAGCAGGTTTTATTATCAGCATCAGAAAAGAAAATTAGTGTCATCTCTAATGATGGTAATGATGACAACTATTCTAACTTCTTCATTTTATTGTTATTTTTCTTGTGCATACAGTCTTAAACATAACCAAATAGGAAAGTATGCAGACCACAAGTTAAAAGTTAAGTATCACCAACTTTTTAAAAATAAATGCAAATTCATTTTTCAAAAGACAGTAAAATGTTAGATTAAATGTCTTTAGCAATAACATCCAAATGACTGTTAATGAGCTCTTACAGAGTTTTATTGCAGATCTAAGCAGATACACCTGCTTCCTCCTTTCAGAGGGTGCTCAAGGTTCATCAGCATAATCAGGTGTGTTACATTAGGAGACTAGGGACTTTTATCAGAGTGTGAAGGTTTTTTCCCATAAAATATGCAGCACAGTATACAGTAAGTATACAGCACTGCAACAGCAACAGAAAATCACCTGTGTTTAAACTGTCAATAAACACATCATGTTGCTTTGGTTGTTGCCAAATGAGTTAAAGGGGAATTCCACAGATTTTACAAAATTTGTGTATGATTAAATGGTTAAGGTGTAAACAAAGTCATTCAAAAGTGGTTTGTTGAGAAACTTACTGAATCAGAATAGTTCACATTCGTGGTAAAAAGCTCCCTTACAGAAAGTTATTACATGACATGGTTATAAACATGTTTTATACTGTTTTATGATAAGTCCCCAAATAAATTGTATTTTTAACACATTTACCACTATTTTACTACTGTCAACATTACATATAAAACTCAAAAGACTTTTGTAGGTTCACTGGTGGTTTTGTATAGTAAATAAAAAGGCTATATTTGAGTTGTAGACATGGCGACCCGTGGTTCCCATCACCACTACTGTAAAGAAATCAGAAAGCTTCTCTCCAATGGACTCTTTCACACCAAACCACTCTGAATGACTTTGTTGAAAATTTGTAAAAACTGGTGGAATTTCCCTTTAACAGAAAAATATATTTTTTAACTTCACTGCTTCTTTCCATTCTAACATATTACCAAACGGAGGACCTCCTTATATTGCATTAAACTGTGACTTATCCTTCTCTGTACCTTTTTTTACACTGCCAGAGTCATAAGGCGCTGCCATGGCTGGATCTGAAGATAAAAAATAATCAAGAAAAAAGAAGAATTAATCCATGAGGGCATTAATTACATTGATCTAAAGAACATTTCAACTCTAAGCTCATTCAAAAAATCTTTCCTAAGAAAATCCTGGCACTAAAATTCAGAGAAAAGATGCTTTATGAGAAGCTACTATTTTGCTTCATATACAAATCTGAAGGAGGAAACCAGGGTGTTATCTTAGACTCTGAGCTCTGTTTATCCTGCATGTAAACACAGTCACTAAAGTAGCTTTTTATCATTTGAGAAATATTGCTAAAGTTCGGCCTTTTGTGTCTCAGAGCGATGCAGAGAAACTTGTTCATGCATTTGTAAAGCAGCACTCGGGCCCTCACAGCCAGACTGTGCAACAGTTTCTACAAGCCATCAGATTCCTCAACTCCTACCGACTGACCTGCCGGACACCCACACTTCCTGAAATTCCAGATTATGTCTGTGACACTGAAATACTCCACTCAATATAATTCATATCTGCCTTCTTGCATTTTTACACATTTTATTCCTTTAATAATATCGGCTGCTCGAGTACTGTACCAACCAAATAGATGCTGTTTTGGTTGCTACCTCAGTGACTGCTATGCTCATAAATGCTAGGATAGCAGCTAATCTGCTAATATGTCATAGTATGTTACATCCTGCTTTGCACAGTCTACATATTCTCAGTACCCTGGACTGTCCCATTTTATATTTATTGCACTGTATTATCTGCACTGTGTATATTGTATTGTTTTGCCCTTGTGTTCCTGTGTTGGTCCTGAAGGTATTTTCACTGTGTACTTGTATGGAGCTGAACTGACAATAAAGCCTCTTGAACTCGGTTACAAGCAGAGTTGATCACTGTAATGCTCTTCTTACTGGAGAAAACCATCCATCCTCTGCAGCTCATAAAAGATCCAGCAGCACGAATCCTACCAAAAACAAGTTCTGCTACTAGTTTTAAGGCTCAAAATGACGTAGCACCTGCTTACCTCACAGAATGCCTGTCTGTGTTCCAGCACGCAATCTCAGATCTGTAGATTCTGGCCTTCAGATGACACCTTCAGTAAAATACAGAAAACACAAAGAGACTGTAAATTATTTTGCTTCTCAACTGTGGAACTCAATTCCACCTTTTATTAGACAGTCAAACTCGATAATCACTTTTAAGAAATATCTGACAGCACATCTCTTTACTTCTGCCTCAAATTCTACCTCTCTTTTGATATTTATCTTTTTAATTTGCTGTATATGATTTGAATTTAATACTCATATCTGCTCTATCACTGTTTGGTATGAAAAGTGCTCTATGTATAAAGTTATTATTATTATTATTATCTTTATTATTATTATTATTTAAAAGAACAATCCCAGGCTGTTCAGACACTACATGTCCAAAAGTTTGTCAACAGCATTTCTTCTGAAATCAGTGAGGATTTAATTGTAGTCAGCTACGAGAGCATTGGTGAGGTCAGGTACTGATGCTGGATCACTCCAACAGTCCCAAAAAATATCACTCGAGAAAACGCAGCTCCAGTGAACGCCTGTGTCAACAATGGGAGGCTGAATTCGCTCGAACACTGTCTGGATTCTTTTGGACACACAGTGTATGTCATGTTAAAGGATAATGCCAACATTTTTCAATCTGATCTCTGACAAGATTACCATCTATATCACTTGAATGTATTCTACAGATTGTGAGTCAGAGGAGTGAAGAGTGCATGCTGAAGAGTACGACTGCAGCAAGGTAGGAGGGGGCGAGGCTATACAAGGATTTAAAAATAGTGGTGAACATAAGAAAACAATACGTTTTTCTGTTGGGACTATTTTGACAGCATGTCCCATCTGCCATGAATGGATTTTAAATATGTGTTTTAGGCCAAAACCTTCTCTAAACTGTCCTAAAACAACATCTCAGGCATCATAACCATTTCATGGAAGCCTTTTCTGTGAAGTAGCTTTTAGACGCTTATTTAAACTCTTCAGACGTCTGGTTCCTATCACCACCACTGTGAACGATTCTGGCTCAGGAAGTTTCTCCAGAACAGAGCATTTCACACCAAACCACTCTGAATGACTCCTATTTCATTATGAAGAAATTCTGAAAATTCAGTGGAATTCCCCTTTAAGTATAATGTGAATGGATTTGTACTTGTGAGTAGCTTACTTGTACTACACTCTTAAAGAGATGGTTCTTCAAGGGTTCTTTAGCAAAGATAATGGTTCTATTTAGAGCCAGCGGGTTTTATATAGAACCATCTCATACCATAATGTTTTTTTTTATGGTGAAATGGTTCTTCAGATTGATGGAGAAACATATGTGTTGCATATGGTTCTATATAGAACCTTTTCGAAGTTGGTTCTATATAGGACCAAAAAGGGTTCTTCTGTTTTTACAAGCTTGACATTATAACTAGAGCAGAACCCTTTTTGGTGCTATATAGAACCATATACAACACTGAAGAACCTTATCACCATGCAAAGAACCATTAGAGCAGGGAATGATTCTATAGAGAACTCATGGTTCTAAATAGAATCATTCCTTTTTTTAAAGAACCCTTGAAGAACCATCTTTTTTATGAGTCTTTTTTTACATTTTCTCAATTACTATTCAAGCTTATATCTAAAATAACTGTCAGATACATTTGCTGTATATGGTTCTGTATAGAACCTTTTTAAAATCAGTTCTATGAAGCACCAAAAGGGTTCTTCTGATGTTACAAGCTTGACATTATAACTATAACAGAACCCTTTTTGGTGCTTTTTAGAACCATATACAACACTTTCTCCATCAATCTGAGAAACCATTTCACCATGCAAAGAACAATTCATGCATAAAACGGTTCTAAAAAGAACCAATCCTTTTTCTAAAGAACGCTTTAAGAACCATCTTTCCTATGAGTCTTTTTTTTACCTTTTCTCAAATACTCTTCAAGCTTACATCTAAAATATTTGTCAAATATATGTGTATATGGTTCTGGGTAGAACCTTTAAGAAAATGGTCCTATATAACAATGAAGAACCTTTTCACCATGCAAAGAACCATTAAGGCATGAAATGGTTCTATAGAGAACTTTTGGTTCTAAACAGAACAATTTCTTTTACTAAAGAACCCTTGAAGAACCATCTTTTTAGGAGTGCATCGTAAGCATGTTTGGTTCTTTTCCTTTGGTTGGGTTCCATTTCTCTTCTAAAGGTTCAGCCTCTACAGTGACTGGTCTCACTTCTTATTTCAGAGCAGAGAGAGAAGAACAGAGCCTTAGAAACTTAAGTTCCTCTGTTGACAGATGCTGGAGGTGCGAAGGTGAGGTTCCACAGCTGTTCTATAAGGAACCCAGTACTGGATGTTTACTTCCTCGAGTTGCTTTGCTAGTTATCTTTACTTCACTGGAGTTAAGAAGACTTTTACCTTAGGAACACAACACTGTCGGGTCTTTACGTTTTTATTAGTATCATTTCCCGACGAGGCTAAATTTAACTTATTCCAATTACACCGTTCCACCTTAAACGGTGCAGCAGTTCCGTTCTGTTGCCTGAGGCGCCAGAATGTAACTGTTGCACCATTTAAGGTGGAACGGTGTAATTCGAATAAGAAGCTGTCGAACAAGCAGCCAACTTTAGTTTCGTCGTTTATTCTAAGCTAAAAAGGAAGAAACAGACAGAAAAACGTACCTTCAGAGAAAAACCGACCACTTCAGCTCGAACATTGGGCGACTGGAAGTTTCCTGACGTCGTTTAAAGCAGCGCTGAATGAAAAGCGAAAGAAGAGGAGACTTCAGGAAGTGGCTCCAGCTTGAGATTCCTGCTCAGTGTCAAAACAAGTTTAGCAACCTTTCACTAAACTGATGGGATTTACATAATAAAAGACAACATCATTCACAGAAATCACTGAGCTAATTAGACTGCTAACGTTTACTGTTCTTTCATTTATTTCTACTGTTTCTCTTATATTTCTGTTACTTCATACCTTACAAGTCTTTAGTCTTATAAATAAGTCCTGTTTATTTTGAGACATAATTTGAAATAATCTTAAAATTAATCTTGTTATAATCTTAAAATTAATCTTGTTATAACAGCACAATTAAGGCTTTAAATATTTATATTATTTATAGATATTTACTGATGATGACTAATACATTAATATATCTTTATATGTTTATATGGAATTTATTTGCTATGTATTTGTGTATTTATTTATAATTATATTTGTAATTTTATATTTATTTTATTATCTTTTGTATTTTTTTTATGTTTTTACATGCATTGTATTTCTATTTATTTATATGTTTTTTATATTTATTTTTATTAAGTGCATGTTTTTATTATGTATTTTTTTGTATATGTATTATATTGAGGAGTAAACAAAAGCCATGTTTCCTATTCTGCCAGTAAATAATAATAATAAAATGGAGAAAAACTTTACATGTTAAAAGTTAATGTGTTATTAAGTTAATGTGCTTTACAGTGAGCATAAAAGTAATTAACACAATATTGTCAATTGACATTTTTATAATTTAATTCATTTACTCATATAATATAATACTATGTATGAAATATATAACTAAACAAATGTGTATTGTTAGTTAGATATTTATTCAGTTAATTACTATGCAGTTTTCCTTATCATACCAAATACAGTTGTTCAGTATTAATTGTTTAAACGTTACAAAATGCAGATGTTTGTTAGGCAGTGCAGCGCTTCAGTGTAAATTTGCTGATTGTAAAATTAATATTTACCAGAAAAAGTATCATGAACATAACAGTGAGCCGTGTTCCAGTTGGCACACTTGCACTCTATGTACTAGTACACTAGCTAGTCCCTTCTAGAGCTGCAAAGCATCAGCGTCACTGCTTGCCTTCATATTAATTGAAATGAAATGAACCTTTTAGTCAACTGTGTCTGAACACATTGGAATTAGACCTCCGCATTTAACCCATCTGTGCAGTAAAACACTGCATACACACTAGTGAGCAGTGAGCACACTTGCCCAGAGCGGTGGGCAGCCCTATCCACGGCACCCAGGGAGCAGTTGGGGGTTAGGTGCCTTGCTCAAGGGCACCTCAGTCACATACTGTCAGCTGAGGGGATCGAACTGGCGACCATCTGGTCACAAGGCTGGTTCCCTAACCTCCAGCCCACTACTGAGATGGTTAGTTGGCCATTAGCTAGCTGATATAAGCGTAAAATGCATGTAAACACTGAAAGTCAGTCAAGTCAAATTGATTTATATAGCGCCTTTTACAACAGATGTTGTCACAAAGCAGTTTTACAGAGAATCCGGGTCCACGCCCCCAGTGAGCAAGCCTTGGCGACAGTGGCAAGGAAAAACTCCCTCAACAGGTGGAAGAAACCTCGAGAGGAACCAGACTCAAAAGGGGAACCCATCCTCCTCTGGTCGACACCGGATAACAGCACAGACACAGAACAGTATAAGTGGATGCAGTTTTACACTTCCGTGCAGTGCGCCGGCCGCATCACATCCCCCTGGGACGTGATAGAGTGCTTTTCACATCAGACCCTCTTGGGACGGGCAGCCGCTCAGCTCAGGGAAAGGGGGGGGGGATAAGGGGGACACATAGTTAGTTCAGAACCAACATTCCCAGATTACCATAGGGCTCTCTGTCTAGGGAAAACTAATTAACCGAAGGCTCGACTACACAGGTAAGTTTTTAGCCTAGACTTAAAGATGGAGGCTGTGTTTGACTCCCGAACACTGACTGGAAGGTTGTTCCAAAGCTGGGGGGCTTTGTATGAAAAGGCTCTCCCCCCTGACATAACTTTATTAATTCTAGGTACTAATAATGAGCCCACACCTTGTGATCTAAGTGGGCATGTCAGTTGGACATAAGGTCACTGAGGTACTGAGGAGCAAGGCCGTTCAAAGATTTATACGTCACAAGAAGAATTTCAGAATTTATACGTCAGTAGAAGGGGATTTAAAAAAATCCACACTGCAATTTTATATTCTGAAAACTTAAAATCAGTTGAACATAAACTTCTATTTCCAATCAACTGCAGTGGTTTCCTTTCTTCAGTGCTTTAAGTAAATCAAATCAAATCTCAGTAGTGAGAACGGTGCGTCCGTTGTTATTTACTTCTTTTTGGTTGCTCTTCATGCACACTATCACTTTTACTTTACACACTGAGTGGTCATTTAAACAGCACACTCAGATTTCTTAGATCAGATCAAAGCCTAGAAATCTGATTAAGAAATCAGATGAAGAGAGCTGGATTTGAGCTCAGTAATGAGGTTTTTCATTGAATGTGAACCCTCACTCTGATTTCTTTCATTTCTCTCAGTCTGTGCATGTGTGTACAGAGCCCTGCTGGTGACATCCCAAATAAATAAAAATAATGGTGAGGAAATGAGATACTTAAGTGGTGGCCATGACTTAGTAAGACATGGGAATGAGATAATTAAGTTATGACCACAACTTAGTAAGGCGTGGGAACGAAATCCTAACCAGCCCTGCTGATTTCCCATATAAATAAAGATAACGTGTGGCCATGCCGTACTATTGTGCGGGAACGAGATCCTAACACATGGCCGTGACTTAATAAGGTGTGGGAACGAGATAATTAAGTCGTGGCCATGACTTAGTCAGGCATAGGAACGAAATTATGCCTTAGAAAGTCGCAGCCACGACGAATTATCTCGTTCCCACACCTTACTAAGTCATGGCTATGACTTAATTATCTTCTTCCCACACCTTACTAAGTCGTGGTCATGCATTATTTTTATTTATACGGGATGTCACCAGCAGGGCTTCGTACATGTGTGAAAACAGGTCGCTGTCCAAAATATAGCAAATAAATACATGTTTGACGGAATAAAGAATTTAAATATTCTTCATCTTCTAGATGTTGTTTATGTATATTTTCCACTATAGTGACTCAGTGTTTTTAAACAAAATATGAGGTTCGAGGTTTACATTACATTTACCTCACGTCTTATTCTGTTAGTTTATTGGCTGATTGCAAAGCAGAAATCAGGAAACAGAAATTACTGACTGACTCGTGTAGACCCGGATCTACATTACCCAAGATCTGATTACCCAAGATCTGATTACCCAAGTGCATGGAAACACGTTGAGCGTATTTCTGACACGATCTGATTTTCTGCAGTTATCGGATTATTAAGTACATGTAAACACACTCAGTGTTAATGTTGCAAATGATCAAATGACAGTAAAAGACAAAAAAATGTTTAAAAGATGTTTTAAACTCATTTTTGATCCGTTATCAAAAGTGGTAAAATGAAAAGTGGTAAAATGAAGAGCGATTCAAAAACGTTCCGAACGCGACCAGCAGATGGCGCACTCACAGCGGATCGTTCTGGGTGGAGCACACTAACGCAGATTGGAGCGCAGCCAATACGTCTACGCCACTGTCGCTTTAAGAGGGCGCGTTCGTGTAGGGCAGGGTCCGCCGAGTCCTGCGCAGGATTTGTGGGGCTCTCTATGCGTTAACTTAACGCACCTTTGAAGCTCTAAACTACAGCGCTCTCCCAACCTGTATTGGAAGGAGCCGCATGGCGACAAGGACGCACTGTGGGTAACGTTAGACGTTAGAGATGGTCCGTCTTTTTTAGCCGGTACAGTCTGTGCTCTTATATATGGATGAAACACAGTTAGTCTACTCAGCCAGGGATTTCGGTAGAAGTTGAAGTTGGTTTCCTATTTACCAGCTTTTTGTTCTAATTTTCCCGTTTCCACCTCGAATGGTGCAGCAGGTAACTCAGTGATACTGAAGTGTAGCTTTGGTTTCCAGCGCTTTATGATGTTTATACTGTTTACGGGGCTGAAGTTTTAGCTGCAGTCTTTAGTTCTCATGATGTCCAGGTGATGATGGCCTCTTCATCTGCACATGGCCTGTTTACTCACTCTATAGTCACTTTAGCCTTCCTTGATCTCAAACAGCGATTTCCCTACAAAAACTACACCAAAATAGCTGCTTGATTAGATTTGTTCATGTCAAAGGGGACTTCCACCAAAAATTTAGCCTAAAATTGCATAGAAATGTACTTTTAGGCCTGTCACGATCATTCATTTTAGTTTTAGTTGTCAAATCAATACTTGTGATTAAAAATTAGTGTTTTGGTTTGTTTGTTAATTTTAAGAGATGATATATTGCAGTGCATAGTAACGCTGCTCTATTCCACTGTACTTACTCTGTTTGCCTGTAATTGTGTTCCCTGTGTTGACAGAGTTTGTAGATACTATGGAGGAGAAATCTGCATCTTATGAGCGTGTTGTGTACAAAAACCCCTCTGAGTACCACTACATGAAGATTCATCTGTAAGTGAACTACTTTAGCATCTTAATACTGTTTATCCTCCTTAATTTCATTGATATATCATCAGCATATGACTGAATATTATATGAAGTACTCAAACATGTACTGTTGTGTAAAAACAGGCACTTAAGTGCAACTCAGACTAACAAACTGCGTTAATGAAACTGAGCACATGCTTATGTTGCAAACTCTCCTCCTGTATATCATTTATAAAGAGATATTCCATAATTTTTTCAAAATTTCTGCATAGTTCAATCCATGTAAACAGAGTCATTCATAGTGGTTTCAGGTGGACTGGTTCATTGTAGAGAAACTTACAGATTTCTTTACAGTGGTGGTGATAGGAACCAGGGGTCACCATGACTACAACACAAATATAGTCATTTTATTTTCTATTCAAAACCACCAATGAACCTTTTTTTGATATCTCATTACCTTTAGTCAGGCAACGTAATTGTACTGTAATCCACTGAAATTATATTTTTTTAGATGTACCGACTCCACACCCCCCGTCTCGTCTCCAGGCTTTTTATTTTACTGTTCTGTTTTAAAACTTTAGGTTATGAAATATGTACTTTTCACCTGGAAAAAACTTATTTAACGTTCACAATCGGGCCTTAAAACCACTGTTTGAGGGAACATTTACATTGTTTGTACCTTAATAAACGAAAAATGGACATGCACAGAACCTTTATTTCTAACAGTGTAAGGGGAAAAAAGTTAACACATCCTCCACATAACACACTTAAATATGGCATTTTCTGCCAATTTTACTGCACAATTTCTGTAAGTTTAACATATAAGAAAAAAAAATATAGAATGTGTGTAAAACAGCTTTTGCACAGATCGCATTTTTTTGTTTTTCCCCTCCAATGTGTTAAACAAAGCAAATATGCAGTGATTGTGCATTAAAGTGTGCAGAAGTGAGTTCTCTATACAGGGTGTGTTAACTTATTTTCTTTTAGAAACTCATCTGTGTGTAATGTTTACAATGGTAAAAAAGTGGTCCATCTGAAAAAGTAAGGTTTCCTTGGCTACTGTTTTACCTGAACACTGTGCATGTACCTCTCCACCATAAATTGATTAATAAAAGTATGCTTAGATATACATTTTATCTCAAAACTGTCGTAATATAACGTCTCAGACATCAGGCAGTGTATTCAGAACCATTTCATGTAATAACTTTCTGTGAGGGAGCTTTTAGAAGTGGACGTCTGGTTCCTATCACCACCACTCTGAACAATTCTGGCTCTGTTAGTTTCTCTAAAATGCAGCATTTCACACCAAACCACTCTGAATGACTCTGTTTACATCTTTTTGTGATTATGTAGAATGTTTTTTGAAATGTTGGTGGCATTTCTTTTTAACATGATGTAAAAAAAAAAGGACAAAATGAATTAAAGCTTTTGCTATTTTGATTATAATACAACATCAACAAAATGAATAACATTATATGAAATACTTAACCGCTCTTGGTGCAGTTTTGCGCTTATGAACACAGAGAGCTTGAAGCCTTATTTCATTTTTGGACTTTCTTTGCATCCAGAGTTCTTGAAAATGCAAACACAAGCATCAGCGCGGAAGAGTTCAAGCACCTGATAATCTGTGGACTCAAAGACCTTTACGGAGAGGTGGGAACTTTCTTAATGGTGAATCTTACCAAATTTTAAACTTAAGTTTATATGTTGTATTATACAGCAGACAATCTGATTAGTTGAAAAAAGTGTTATTTTCTTGATAATTATGTTTTTGGTCACTACACCTGTATCATTGTGCTGACCACCAGTTGCTAAGTAGTAGTTTTGCCAGCAGAAATTGACCATTGAATTATATATTTGAAACAGTATGTGGAGCTTCTTTGCTTTAATTTGCATTTACTTGGTAAGACTATTGTATGGAAAAGTATGTTATTGAAAATAGCATTACAGTTATGATCTGTTATACCATGTTCTATTCCTGAAATACTGAAAAGTCTCAGTAATGTCGTTTGAAGAAAAAGGTCAGAGATTAAAGGAGAATTGCACAGAATTTTCAGAAATCACTGCATCATTCAGTCATTGAGATGTAAACAAAGTCATTCAGAGCTGATCAGTAACTGTGATTAACAGTTTGTGTCTTATTTTTTCTTTATTTTTTGCTCCTTGAATAAAAACTTGAGGAGTTAAATTGATTTTTCTGTATAGTTCAATCATTAAGATGATTCAGAGTGGTTTGATGTGAAGTGGTGCATTCAGAGAAACTTATTGACTCTGATTTCTTTACAGTGATGGTGATGGGAACCAGGGGTCACTATGTCTACAACACAAATATAGCCATTTTATTTACTATCCAAAACCACCAGTGAACCTACACGTCTTCTGAGCTTTTAGATGTAATGTTGATGATGGTAAAACATTGCTAAACCTGAAAATATTGTTTTATTTGGCTTTTTAATTTGCCTCTTAACACCCTGCATGTATCTCTCTGCAATTAGTGGATTTTAAGAGTTCATTTTAGGTGAAAATCTCCTCAAAACTACCCTTAAAAGAGTGTCTCAGACATCAGGCAGCATTTTTATAACCATTTCATTTAGTAACTTTCTGTGAGGGAGCTTTTAGATTTCTTGTTCCTGTCACCATCACTGTAACTCCAGGACATCTTGACCAAATTATGCAGAAATGTTGGAAATTCCAGTGGAGTTCCCCTTAAACATACTCATCCTCACAATGCATTGTAACATATAGGTTGGAGCTGCGATCCCCTTTGATGTGCTGACGTTTGACCAGACTGCACTATCGGCCATACTTCGAGTGTACAACAGGTGAGCTGTAATAGTTCTGCAGAAGGCTGGATCATTTTTCCTGAGCGCTAATAGAACCTGTTCTCCAAGCGGCTTCTCATTATGAGACCCACAGTAATCTGTTGTGTCTATAAAATTCATGTACACTGTATGTCCAAAAGTTTGTAGACATCAGTGTTTCTTCTGAAATGAAGGGCATTAATAGGGAGTTTGTCCCCCTTTGCTGCAGTAACAGCCTCTTCTGGAACGCTTTACACTAGATGTTGGAACATTGCTTTGAGGATTTGATTGAGCATTAGTGAGGTCAGGTACTGATGTTGGGTGGTCAGTTCTGGATCACTCCATCTCACCCCAAAGGTATTGGATGGAGCTCCATCACTCCAGAGAACGCAGTTCCACTGCTTCACAGCCCAAGATTGTGGGGCTTCATACTCCTCTAGCCCACGCTTGGCATTGAGCATAGTGACCTTAGGCTCATATTTTGCTGCTGTAGAGCTCCTTTCTTTCTATGGAGACTATACATTATTAACTAAAGTTTGGGGGCAGTCGTGGGCTGCAGGTTAGAGAACCAGCCCTGTGACCGAAAGGTCATTGGTTCGATCCCCTGAGCCGACAGGACTGAGTCGACAGGACATGACTGAAGTGCCCCTGAGCATGGAACCTAACCCCCAACTGCACCTCGGGCGCTGTGGATAGTGCTGCCCACCGCTCTGGGCAAGTGTGCTCACTGCACCTGTGTGTGTGTGTGTGTGTGTGTGTGTGTTTTTGTGTTTTTGTGTGTGTGTTTTTGTGTTTTTGTGTGTGTGTGTGTGTGTGTGTGTGTGTGTGTGTGTGTGTGTTTTTGTGTGTGTGTTTTTGTGTGTGTGTGTGTGTGTGTGTGTGTGTGTTTTTGTGTTTTTGTGTGTGTGTGTGTGTGTGTGTGTGTGTGTGTGTGTGTGTGTGTGCTTTCACTAGTGTGTATAATGCAGAGGTGAAATTTCCCCATAGTGGGACTAATAAGGGTCACTTAACTAAAACTTCACTATTAAAGTAGCTGAGTTCGTTAATTAGAAGGGCTCTCTGGATACTTTTGGACATACAGTGTATTAGGTGGATAGTAGATTTGTGAAATTCTGTCTGCTGTGGATGAAATATGAACTTACCTCTGATTACAGAGACATGTTTGAATCAGTCAGCAGCACTGTGAGATTCTAAATGTTATTTGTTTTTCCTCATATCAGTGGTCTGGTGAAATTGTGGAGTGCACTAACACTGATTGGATCGTATGCAAATGAACCGTGCGCTTTCAGAGTCACCCAGGTAGGTTTTTAATATAAAACATAATCCTATGTTTTGTTTATTTATGCTTACAATAGGGTTGTCACAATACCAAAAGTTTGACTTGGACACCAATATCAAGTGTAGTAGCACAAAATACTAAAAATCATTGTAAAGAAACTTTTTTGTGATTAACAATTTGTGCTTTTTTTTACTTTTTATTTATTTTTTGCTCATTGTATGAAACTAGTGGAGTTAAGTTGATTTTTTTTTATATATATGTTTCTATATAATTCAGTCATTAAGATAATTCAGAGTGGTTTGATGTGAAGTGGTGCATTCTAGAGAAACTTATTGATTTCTTTACAGTGGTGGTGATAGGAACCAAGGGTCACCATGGCTACAACACAAATATAGACATATATAGATATAGATTTACTATCCAAAACCACAAGCGAACTTACACAAGTCTTCTATGCTGTACTTTTATATGTAATGTTGGTGGTAAAATAGTGATAAATCTAAAAATAATAAGTTTTTGGGGGGGATTAAGTGCAGTATCACAAAATACCAAAAATACCAGTTCTGTGGCAACAACTGAAGCCCAATAAACATCCAGTATTTACCTGAGGTTCACTTACAATATTTGTGTGGTTTTATGTACCAAAAACAGTCAATTCATTTTTACACTACCATTTATTTTTCAACCGCTTTTTATCCATTAGAATTAAACATGCTGTGCCTTTAAGATTGATATGTGTAAATGACCGCTGTTCCAGCTCTGTATTGTTCCTCATTCAAAAAGCAGTCCGGGCTGAAACACTGCTTATATCAGTATTAATGGGAGGAGCTAAACTGCTGTAGACTGCTGTGCTTGTTTTTGTGACATCACTAAAACAGTTCATTCAAAATACAGCTTAGTTTCCATACATCGACTGTATGTACTGAAGAGCAAAGAGTATACTTTGAAACTTTAAAGAAGTTTTCATACAACATCAAATTCTTATTTCAAAAAAGAGATCTGCTTTTCAGTGGTAGTTGTGTGCAAAAGTTTGGGCACCCCTGGTCAAGTGACGGTGAAAATTCAACACATCCTCTACAGAGAACACACTGCTGCACATTTTAATCCACAATTACTGTTTTATTTGCCGAATTTAACATAATTATAATAAATTAGAAATAGAAATTGTGCATTAAAAAAACAAGTGATTTGACTGGAAGTGTTCATATGACTGTATAGGCCTTTAAAAAGAATTGTATTTATTGGAATGTATCAAATTAGAATACTGAGTAATTTTATAATGTTGTAATAGTAAAAAAGTATTGAACTTTTGATACTTTATACAGCACTAGTTTACAAATTGCTAATGTCTGAAGTTTGTTTTTGATTTTTTTTTTTCTTAGCTTACAGTGCACTTTTTCATCAACAGATGGCGGTAGTGAATCTTTTCAGTAATCATACGACTGTTAAAGATGACTCGACACATTTTTTTTCTAATATGTGTTGGAATATTGTAAACAACTTGCTGAGTGTACTTATGTCCTGCTAGTATTCTGAATTTTTACGACACAAATGCAAGCCCCTTTGGATCATTTGGATCACCCATTGGAAAACAAGGCTTTTGCTGGTGAAATTAAACTTTATTTTCTCTCTCCTTTTCAGGTTTCGCCATTTTTATTAGCCCTTTCTGGAAACAGTCGTGAGATGGAGGTGTAGTAGCTCTGTCATCATCGAGAAGAGCTCCACCATTTACCTGTGAAAATGACCTTCGTTCTGAGAAGGAGCCTGTTGGGTAAAAGCATGCGCCGTGCAGTCGGCATGGCTGTTTGTGGGGTCACAAAGATGACCCTACCCAAGACAAACAGTCACAGACTGCTGCACGTAGGTGAGCGGGCCTCACTGACCAAGGCTTTCACAGCCAGAGACGTCGCACTTTTTGCAGAGCTGACCGGAGACACTAATCCGCTTCATCTCGACCCGGAGTTCGCCAAGACGACATCTTTCGAAACTCCCATTGTTCACGGCGTGTTGATTAACGGCCTCATCTCAGCAGTTCTGGGCACTAAAATGCCCGGCACGGGCTGCGTCTTTCTCTACCAGGAAATTCGCTTCCCGGCACCATTGTACATCGGTGAAGAGGTGGTAGCCGAGGCTGAGGTGAAAAAGATCAAAATGTCGTTTGCCTTCATTTCCGTTTCCTGTTCAGTCAAAGACAAAGTGGTTATGGAGGGAGAAGTGATGGTCATGATGCCAGAGCACTCCCAAGGACCTTGAAGAGGGCTAAAGGACATTTTGAAAGGACGTATATGAAACTTTCATTTGGGACTTTAATTTCTTCATTTGAGCACCAAATTCTATAAATTGCCTGTTATGGAAGTTAGAGAGCTGTTTTGTTTCCTTATCAGAGATACAAATGATTTATTTAGAAACCATTATTATTTTATTTCCGGAGGTTTACATGTATCTTTATGAAAGAAAGCCTTTGATAAAGTGTGCATTATGCAAATATGCAGTGCTTAAAAGTAGTCTTGGGACACACTGAAAACAGTTTGTCTTGTTTATTTATTACTTTCCAAGACAAATTTCACTCATTCATATCCATAAGAAAAGTTATAATCGGCAATAACAACCAGGTTTACTAGCAAAATTTCAAAATTATCTCATTAATTATCTTAAATAAGGCAAGTAAAAGTACTTTTTCACATTCACTTTTACTTCACATTTGTGGGACAAACTGACTGTCTCTTTCCTTCATGTATATCAGTATTTTGTTGTATATCTATTGTATTAGATGACAGCTTGAGGCTTCTAGGCCTGGAGTGCATGAGTCTGCACGACTTATGATCAGCCAGTTCTCTTATGGATGTTCAGAGCGTGACAGGTGTCTCTTTTCACAACTTCAATACGTTTTTCATTCTTGATTTTCGAATTTTCAGCATACCTGTGATCTCACAGATACTTTATTTGTCAGAGATTTTTTTTTTTTGTTAATTCAGCCCCATATTAATTCAACTCAATACATGTTTTCCTAGTTTTCTATCTGTCTTTTAGAATGAAATTTAGAGTGTTGGATGGTGCGTTGGAGATCCTCTGGTTAGAACATATATGCATTTGGATGAGTGTCCCAGTGTTTGTTTTGAAGTAAAATGGGGGGTTTTGGTCTAGTTTGCCATTATTTAGTTGGACCAAAAGTATTGTTGCAAGTTAAAATATAGCTGAAATGATGTATTTTTGAATATAATAAAGCACATTTTCCAGAATCCTTCAACAAATCAAATCATTCTAAGAGACAAACGATAGTAAAAGTGTCCCAAACTACTTTTGAGTAGTGTATAAGGAAAACCGCAATATAGAAACATGAACAAAAATATTCATTCTTTCAAGAATTGGCCCATCCTGTGAGGTGCATGAACTCTGTCATGAGCTGTTGGCTGTGTTATGGATTAAAAGCTTGCCTAGGCTTTCTGTAAAGAAAAATGAAAGAGTAACGGAATCCATCACCCAACCCAAATTCTACTTTCGATTCACTATATATCCTGGGTGCTTTTTTCTTTCACGCGTGGTTTGGCTTTGGTTGCAACCCGTATCCAACAGTAGTGCTGTAAAACCAGCTCTGTGAATCTCCAGTGTGTGGTTTTGGTTTAGAAGTAATAGGCCAGTTTCCTGGTAAAATGTGCTGCTGTGATTTGACATGTCTTGACACATTAAAATGTATGCAGTTTATTTTTCATTTAAGTGTGCTGTGACTATGTTGCCTGAAATTTGGGTAACTGCTGTATCTTTCACAAATTGGTATAATAATTGTAATAAATGTATTTCTTTGAAAACTGAGAGATTAGAGAGCTTAAACCCCTTTCAGGTTTTGTTTGTGTTAACATACACAAACACACACAAGCATAAGTTTTGGGATAGCGGAGTAAAAGTCAGGTGTAAATTCTCTTGGATACGTGTATATCTTTGTTGCACACACAGTGGACTAGTGAAGTAGTGAATTTTGTTCCTATCTATATTTGTACAGATATATATTAGTATATTGTGTTTGTGTAACATGGTGAGCAGCAGAAGTAAAAGGAAAATTAGTAATTTAGTAATTAGTTTACCTTTTAAACCCCTTTATACCCCATGTTTTCAACTGACCAAAAGGCTTCAAATCATGTCTAAGAACAGCCCAGTATATATCCTTACATTTTTCTATTTAATTTAATTAAAGGTTTTTACAAGATTGTGCTTTTATACATTGAAAGGTTCTGTTTTTCTTTGTGTTGCCCAAGGGCAACATTATACAGCAAAAGTACTGTTCAGGGAGGCCGTGTTTAATGTAGAATGTATGTAAATTATAACCTTGTTTTGTTTTTGATATAAATTATTGTTTGCAGAAAAATGGAGACCCCCCACACACATACACAAACATACACACTTGTCTCCATTGTACACATACATGTGGTAACAAGTTGTGATTTTGAAATGTGTTATTTCTGAAACTACTGATTAGCTAAATCATAGAGAAATTCATAAAAATATTTTTATTGTGTGATTTAATACCCTTGTGGCTCAATGTTGCCCTGGGGCAACAAAATATTTATGGTGTTCGGTAAATATTATTTCAGTCTGGTCAGTGTATAAATATTTTCCCCAAGCATGTGCGCAGTGGAGGGTTAATGAACATATGCCTCACATTTGTAGTTCACATCGAAAGACTGAAATATTTTACTTTCATTTCTGAGTAATCTCTTTGATACAGGAGGAGCCTCGAGTTTGCTTCTCGTTCGAATTTTCCGTTCTACCTTAAATGGCACAGCAGTTAAATGGGTTAAATGGTGGCGCCTACACAGGCGCCATAATGTAATTTCTGCACCACTTAAGGTGGAACGGAAAATTTGACGAAGAAGCTGACGAATGAAAGCCAACTTCAGCTTCGCGCTTACAGGTTGACATTTTTTGTGTTTACTTCCAGCCGCCTGTTTATGTTTCTGCTTCTCACTGAGTGTAAACACATATGAGTGTAAACAACCCCCCCCCCGCCTCCTGCTCGGTTCCCGTCCCTCAGGCAGTCGGTCGGTCGGAGGCGGGATCAGAGCGGCACCGCCGCTGATGAGCCGCTCAGAGGAAGAAGCTTCTGTCAAGCTCTCTCACCCTCCCTCCGCCACAATGACAAATAAACAGCTTTTCAGCTGAAGGACTTGCTTTTCCTCGCCGCATATTTTTGGTACGAGACATCGGGAGCTACTGACGCGTCCGCTGTTACAACAGATATTCCCAGAAATGGCTTTCATGGAGAAACCGTCCGCCGGGAAGCTGCTGCTGGACGACACGGTCCCCCTGACGGCGGTGATAGAAACCAGCCAGAGCCTCCAGTCCCACACGGTAACTCGGAAATTTTCGCGGACAGCGGCTTGTTACGCCGACCTGAGAGTGAAAACATTAGCCAGATATTATACTTACATCTCTGAGTATCTTTTCATCTCAGTCAGAGAGCAAATTGTCTCAAAATGTGTCTGGTTATTCATCTAAATAACCGCTTCCACATTCAGCTATCATACTGCTAGGTTAACTAGCCAGCTGGATCATGTGAATGTCATATAGGCAGCTAACAAACAAGCTAACTCGCTTAGGTAACTAGCTAACAACATAACGTTACAACCAGACGACTTTAACACATACAGGCTAAGTTGCTAATTATTTATATACTTAAAATACAAAATATACGTAGCTATGTAGCTTAGCTAACCGGCTGGTCAACATTTGTTAGTAAAATCAATAGCTGGCCAGGCTTAGCAACAGCACGCTAACGTTAAGTAAGTAAATAAGGTTCGTTTCAGCTAAATTTGTTAGTCGTCCTCAGCAGTAACGTAGTTAACCTAGTGTTGCTGGTGTGATTAAAACTTGAACACTCTTATTTTATGTTGAAAATAAACTGACACGTCTCCTTAAAAACCCACCGAGGCTAGTGATTTTTAATTTAACTTGGCTACTAAGACTGAACAGATTTTCTTCTGGAGCTGGAAAGGGAAAAGTCTGTATAATTCAGTGGTTGAGATGTAAACACACTCATTCATAGTGGTTTGGTGTGGAACGCTTCATTGTAGAGAAAATACAGACTCAGATTTCTTTACAGTGGTGGTGATAGGAACCAGGGGTCACAATCCAAAACCACCAGTGAACCTACACGTGTCTTCTGAGTTTTATAATGATGATGATGATAAAATAGTGGTAATTTTTCTTTGGGGATTTTTATTTTGCCATAGGGGATTTTTTTTATTTTGCTGTAGGACACCCTTCATGTAGCCCTTCACCATAAATAGATTAACACAAATCAGTTACATTATGTTTTAGGCCCAAACTGTAACAGTGTCTCAGACAGCAGGCAGTGTATTTAACCATTTCATGTAATAACTTTCTGGTTCCTATCACCACCCCTGTGAATAATTCTGAATTAGTGCGTTTCTCCAGGAGTATTTGCGGAGCATTTCGCACCAAACCACTCTGAATGACATCTTAACCATTAAAACATGCAGAAATTTTTGAAAAATCTGTGGAGTTTCCCTTTAACCTTAATTGTCAACGTGACCTGCATTTTCCCCTTTGCCTGCACATTTATTTTTTCCAGCATTTCCATAGCCACTCAGACAGCAACACAGCTGCTCTCTTGTTGACTGCAAACAGCTCTGTAAAATTACAATGACAAGCCTCCCTATGTTTTCTGTCAGCACCATGGTTGTTTGTGAAATGCCAACGCCTCAGAATGAACCAGGGAACTGTTGCCTGGTTTCAACTAAACTTTGTGTTCTTCAGTGTCAGAGTTGTCCTTAATTTAATGTTTTTTTATAGTGTATGTTGTAGTTTTGCTGTGGCAGAAGAGCTTCAATAGTGTGTGAAGAGAGCCAGTGATTCTAAAGTGATAGTAAACAACTAAACTCTTTCTTTTCCTAAGTCGACACCTATATTGAAATTTTGAGCATCAACCAATACTGAAGCAAATCTGATCTTGTTTCTCTAAAAGCTGCTAAGCTCTATTTGTGAAGAATTTCCCTTAAAGAGAAATTCCACCAAAACTTTCAAAATTTCTGCATAACTGATTCATTAAGATGTAAACTAAGACCCTGTTTACACCTTGCATCAATTTATGTTTTCAGTTATCTGATCTCATTCGAAGTTCACTTGACTAGAGTTCTCTTGATCTGGAGGTGTAAACAGGCCCAAGCTAGAATTGTTCACAGGTGGTGATGGGAACCAGACATCTCACAGAACTTGTAACGAATATCTGATGCCTGACGCTTTGCTTTTTGATAGGTTTGAGGTTTTGGTTTTGGCTTAAAAAGTTTTTTTATTTGTTTTTATTATTTTTACTTAAATACTTTCAAATGCATTTGTGGTGGGGAGGCACATGCAGGGCAATGTGATACAAAATAGTCCCCTAAAATGTGTTTTTTTTAATGTTTACCACTATTTTACCATTATCAGCATAAAACTCAGAAGATAGTAGTAGCTCCACAGGTGGTTTGGGATAGTAAAAAAAAAGCTATATTTGTGCTGTAGATATCACGACCGCAGGTTCCTATCAACACCACTGAGTCAATAAAGAGTCTCTGAGTCTTTACAGTGAACCATTTCACATCAAACCGCTCTGGCTGACTGTGTACAGTTTAATTACAAAATTAAATTTTGAGAATTTGGTGGAATTCTCCTTTTAGATGAGCCTTTAAAAGCAGGCCAGCCTGCTGAAGCTACTTAAATGATCTACCCCACAGGAAGAACTACATAGCTAACATCAACAAAGTGTGAATGAGTGCTGTTTCAGGATTGATTTGTTACAGGTTTGGATCAGATTCAATAAGTTTTCTTTCCAATATCTAATCCAGCATTGTCTCTTTATACTCACTGACCCAGGTCATCTCTAAGCAGTATACAGATTGACGTAATGGGTTAATGCTGTAAATTATAGCCTAAGCAAAGGCCTGGCACACTGGGGGCCATATTATATCTGGACTTTGGACCTCTTTTTTAACCCTGTTTATTCTCCTGTTGTAATTCCAGCATGAATAAACCAAGTATGTCAGCACAGTAAATAAACCTGTCTGTAAGTCTAAAAAGTGGCAGAGCTTGACTGTGGTCAACTACCTGTCATAAAGAGCCATACACTAGCGTACAGTCTTGTGACGTATTATTGTCATTCATTAATAAACTCAAACTCATGTTGTGGAGTGTTTGTTCTCAGAGATTTTAATAGGCTGCTTTTTTTATCACCAGGAATACATCATTCGTGTCCAGAGGGGAGTCTCATCAGAAAACAGCTGGACAGTAAGTTTTTGTTTTGGATCAGCTGAATCTAGTCAAACGTACAACGCACATCCTTCTCCTTTTGAGCTCTGCAGCTGGAGGCTTAATGAACTGGAGATCCTGCAAACCTCTTCTGATTCAGGGTGCATATGTTATACAAGACTAATCACTTCTGTCTTTCAAAAATGGGCAATTTATTAATAAAAAAGGTAAATGGAGTCATATCGGTTAGCAGTTTTACTCCACATGTTCAAGGCTTTCATAGTGAAGTCTGTTTCACAATCCAAACTCAGCCCAAGTGAGCATGTGCATTGAAATCTTAAATCTGTTCATTCATTTCATGCATAAACATCAACTCTTGAAAGAGAGTTGCACCTGGTTATTTCTGTTGTGTGTTCTGTGCTGATATGCTGTCTGTGATGTTGCTGTACACATAAGCAGGTTTCCATTTTGCTAAGTTTGTCCGAAGCTGCAGAGCTTACAGTAAAAAGGATGTGAGGTGGCTTAACCAACAGTGCTTATGGGCTGAAGACATTAGCTAATTCAAACCAAAGATGCAGTTCCTTGTTTGGAAACCTAAAGGTCTTTTAGTGTAATAGCTATTTGCTCTGAACCAAAGAATAACCCAGTGTGTAACTTGGTCAGGGGTGCCCAAACTTTTTGCCATGGGGAGGCCAAAGTGCAGTGCTTGTGGTGGACTAAAAGCTAAAAGACAAAACAATAGATAGTCGATAGAAGTTTGGCAGGTTTTAAAATGACATTTTAGATTAATTGATCTCAAAAATTGTGGCTAATCATTGAGTGTGTACAAGCACTTAATAATCCGCAAAAAATCTGATTTCGTCAGTAATCTGATTAACGCGTTTACATGCGCTTGGGTAATCAGATAATGGGGAAACTCTGGGTCTACATAAGTCAGACAGTAATCAGATTTCTGTTTTGCAACCAGCCAATAAACTCACAGAAGACGATGTGATGCGAACGTAATGTAAAACTCAAACTTGATGCCGCGGCTTTTAAAAAAAAAAAAAACGCACTTTACCTGAAAATAGGAACATACATTATCTAGAAGATGGAGAATCCTTCATCACGTCAAGCATGTGTTTGGTTTCAGCATCACTCCAAAAGTATTTTGCTGCGTTTGCGTCAACGCTGCTTGCTTATTTCTGGGCCGCAGTCTGATTTCACCCATGCGTGGACTGAGAACTCTGAAAGAAATCAGAGTAAGAGTTCACATTCACTGAGAAATCTGATTACCGAGCTATAATCCAGCTCTCTTTATCCTATTTCTTAATCTGATTTCTAGACCATACTCTGACCTAAGAAATTGGAGTGAGCTGTTTATATGATCATTTGAATAATCAGATAACTGCAAAAATCTGATTATGATCAAATTATTGAGTGCATGTAAACGCAGTCATTGAGATGACTGAGTGGTTTAATATGTAGTGATGCATTCTAGAGAAACTTACTAACTTGCTGCCTCACAACATCCTGCATGTACCCTCCACCATGAACGTATTTTAGAAACCAAAACCTTTTCAAATACATTGTAAAACAATGTCTCAGACATCAGGCAGCATGTTTATCACCATTTTGTCCACTATCTTTCTGTGAGGGATCTTTTAAAGGCATTAAATGGTTAGGATGTCTGGTTCCTATCAATGCTGCTGAGAACAATTCTGACACTGTAAATCTCTCTAGAATAGTATTTCACTTCAAACCACTTTGAAAGAATTTGTTTACATCATAATGACGAAATTATGCAGAAATTTTGAGAAATCAGTGCAGTTCCTATTTAAGGTATGTGTCTAAAGTGGCCAAACTGGCTGACTAGCTATTTTACTTTCTAGCTTGTTACTCACCGCTGACCTCTAAAGGTGTTGTGGCATCTGAGCTTTTGTTGTTTTCGTACCACCCATGATCTGTCTGGATAAATACATTTGTCGTTTTCTTTTATTATGTATTCGCCTCAATATAGCTCATGAAAGTGCACTCAGTTTTCGTTCTGTTTGTGGAAAATAATTGAGCTCAGTTTAAATGTGATCAGCTCAAATAATTGCGATCAGATGATTATATAATTTGTGTGCCACATTACACTGTAATTTGTTACTAAAATATTTTAAAAATGCAGCTTTAAAATTGAAATAAGAATTGAATATGTGAATATAAAGTATAAAAATATTGAAAACCAAAAGTCCTAATGGGCCAACCTGCGGGCCACACTTTGGGCAGCCCTGAACTAGATAGTTGAAACCTTTAATTTTTCAACATTTTGTCTTATTCCTAGATATATATGTTCTTATTTGTGGGAGAGAAAAATTAGATTTGAATCTGTGAAAACTAACATGTGACCCAGTTCACCACCATGAGAACTCGTAAACGGTTGATGACTTAAGGCTTTTTGTTCTCTAATACTTCTAGGTCATCAGGAGATACAGTGATTTCGACATGCTTAACAACAGCTTGTTGGTGAGTAAAATGTGTGAATTCCTGCCACATAACGAAACACACTGTACATGAAAACATGACTGGAATTTCCACTGAAGTTGTCTGTAGTAATGCTGTGTTTTCAGCACAAATCAGGATGTGTGTTGCTGACTCCTCACAAACACGTTTCCCGCTTAATCCTGGAACTCTCCAGTAAAACTTTCCAGTAAAAGTGATTACAGGCACATTGTTTCTTTTTCGTTCTTTCTTTCTTTTCCTCTGCTTTTCACTGCCTGTCTGTCCCGCCCACTCACTGGTTCTCTGCCGGTCTTCTTGCGTCAGATCTCTGGCCTCAACTTGCCCCTTCCTCCCAAGAAGTTAATAGGGAACATGGACAGAGAGTTCATAGCGGAGCGGCAGAAAGGTCTTCAGGCCTATCTCAACTTCCTCACCCAGCACCACATCCTCTCCAGCTGCGAGCTGGTCAAAAAGTTCCTTGACACCAACAATTATTCTGCAAACTACACAGGTATGTGGAGTCAGATTAAGGGCACAAGGGTTTGGATGGGGGTCTTACTTCTGTAGACTAATTTTGGGAAAGTAGTTCAGGAAAAAGGGACATAATAGGACGATAGAAGAAAAATGGCAGGACCAAGTTTATTGATTCCTTAAACTAAATGTGTAAGATGACAAAGTCAACCTGGACCTTTTTATCTGACTAGTTAATGTTCCTGTTCATATTTAGCACGATTCATCAAATCATACTATTTAAAAAAAACAAAAATTCTTCTTTTCCCCTAGTCTTCCCTCAGAAAATAAGGACTTTTGCCCACCTCGAAAAAACATCTTCTGTTTTTTAGGGAAATCAGACATTAAATGGGAAATCGTAGCACAGTGCAACGTATTTCCAAGTTAAACACTGGTCTCTGAGCTAGCTGAGCATTTTCTCTCAGTGCTGGGTGGGGATGGTGGAGTAGTGACACGTTATTATTGATTAAAATTTTTTTCCCGCCCGCTGGTTCACCGTCATGACAGGAAAACAAGGGTTTTGTCTTGTATTATATGATGAATCATGCTAAATATAACCAGGGACATGAATTAGCAATTTCAGGTTAATGCTACAGAGAACAACTACAGCTTATGTGCGTATACAAGCTCTATAGGTATTTTTAAATTTGGATTTTGAAAAGTAGTCGTTTGGTTTATAACTTGAGTTTTGTGACTCCTTTTTGTCTGTTTGTAATTGTTCCCTTATTTTCATTTAGACCGTAGTGTTTTATGTTTTGCAATGTTCTACATAAGAGAATTGAGAATTTGTAACCAACATTAATGCATGTTATTACTGAATGCATGTTTTTGAATAATTGATGGTGTATAGAGTTTGAGTAAAGAGATTCTGTTACTAGTACAGTGGAGAACTTTAGTAGAAAACGCCCGTTTTGACTTCATTGTTTCTGTGATATTAACAGAACCAACTCATTTACATATATCTGCCTATTTAGCCTAGCTCCACCCATTTACACTGAAGTTGTAAGGAATGTTTTAGCCCAGACTGCTTTTTCAACGAGGCACAATACAGGGCAGCTGTCAGAACAGAGATCATTTGTTCAAAATCAGTTTTAAAGGCACAGTAACAAAACAGCCTGTTTTATTCTAAGGGATCAAGAGAGGTTGGAAAATTGTGATGTAAAATGATTTAAGACCATTTTAGTACATGAAATCACACAAACGATATATGTGGATCTCAAAGGGAAAAAGTAAAATGCAGATATGCTGAAAACATGTTGTGCCACAGTAATGTTTTGTTTCTCTAACTACCGTAACTTTTTATCTGCAGAAATCGCCTTACAGCAAGTGTCCATGTTCTTCAGATCTGACCCAAAGTGGGAAGTGGTGGAACCATTAAAAGACATAGGTAAGTAAAAGTTGATCATCTACTGGGGTCAGTAAACCATTTTAAATTAGTGCACGTGCAACCATGATTCATCAACAGCACCAGGGCATTTACTGGGTTGTTACTGAGTTACAAGCATAAGATATGCAGTGTTTGTTCCTAGAAGGAAATTCTTTGTGGTCCTGCACAGTTAGAAAGTGACCAGGTGGCTAGGGCAGTATAACCAGTAGCACTTGTATGGCAGCTAATGGTTTACATTGGCTTTGTTTTGGTATGCTTTGTGGTTGTAATTTGTCTGGGGAACGTGTATGTTTTGTTTAAAACCCTTATCTGTAGTTCACTTTAAAATTGCGTACATATGTTTGTCACTGTTCATGTGCATTTATTGCACACATTTGTAAAAAATTAATTTTTCAAGGAAGTCATTATTAAAATTTAAATAACGCGTGTGAATAGAGGTTGTTGTTAGTGGGTCAAGGCTTCAGGTTTATTGCTGTAATTGGTGCACGAGTACAGCTAAAGTGGAATTCTTCCATGCAGATATCTAAGCAATATGTTTTAATACAGCATACACTCACTGGCCACTTTATTAGAAACATCTATCTTGATGGTGTACAGTAAAAACTGTAGTCCATCTATTCATGTACAGTTAGTGTTAGCCATCCTCTGACCCTTCATTAATGGTCAGTTTCTGACCACATAGCCGCTGGCAGACCACTATCAACTTGGCAGTAACACTAATGCATGTAAAACCACTGAAACTGACTAATAATAAACAGGGTGAAGGAGGCTGATAATTTATACTGCAACAGATGTTTAATTGCAGTTTTTAAAATTCTACACCTGTATAGTAAACCTATAAGGTAAGTGGAGCTCATAAAAGTTGGTGTGGCCAGTGATCCTATAGACGTTATACATATAACCTCAGACATATGCTCTATTTTGGCAGTAACCATGGCAATATGCAGGCAACATATAAGCAGTGTACATTTAATGCAGACTCCTTATGTTGGCAGTAACACTGTATGATGTATAAGAAAAGGACTGCTTTGTGTTCTGTCCACATAAACATTACACTAGTTTCTTTTCATCAAGCTAGGATTCTTGCAGGCAAAGACTTGAGCCTGTATGTTTGTTGTTGTTTAATTTGTAAGAACACCATCCATACTTCTTTCATATAAGCCTAAATGGACCATCATTTGATTTTTGAAACTAGTTTAACTGTGTTTTTAAAAGCAACAAGGCCATCAGAGGCTATGAGTTAGTGATGTTCACAGGTAAGGGGTGTTGTTAGTCACCCATCACACTATATTGCAGTGATTTCGTGAATGTTTAAATTTGTCATATAATAAATACACCAGCCACGCATGTCAAAATATGGCAGTGGTTAATCCAGAAGACCTTTTATAAATAGCTTTTGCTTCAAATTACTACCGTTTCAGTCATTTCTGCTAGCACCTATGGGTTACTAGTGTTATGTTACAGCGAATTCTTCAGTAAATACTTCAATTCAGAGCCTAACGCTCTGAATTGTTAATGAAGGAGTCTGTTCACTTCTTAGCTGTCTGCTGAGTTGATCAGCCTAGTTCTAGGTTCTAGAAAATAAGTTGTCAGCTTCCGGTTGAGTACCTTTAAGTGGTTTTAAGCTGTTTACTTCATGACTTGGTCCAGTCAATCAGTATACATTATTTACCACAATGGTTATTAATGACATGGCACATACATACAGAATTCAGTTGATGTAAGGTGGTCATAGGTGTGTGTATATTGAGTGTTTTATATGGATAAAGCCTCAACCAATCAGAATTTAGAAGTGGAACTATTCGTTATATAAACATTGTTTAACCCAGAATCATGCCTTAGTCTCATTTCTTCTATCTATTATTACAGTATAATTTTTCCATCAATCTGCCTTATCACTGCAGGAGGATTATAATGATAAAGCTTTACCAAATTTGACAGAGAAGAGGGATTAAATAAAACTGTCTATTCTTTACACAGGCTGGAGATTACGAAAGCGGTACTTCTTAGTCAAAAACAAAGAGCAGCCTAAGGAGCGACAAGTCTTAAGTTGGGTGAGTTGTGTTTTCACCTCAAACATGCACTTATAATTGTGGTGCCACACTTTCTGTAAGCTCAGTGTAATCCTGTACTTTGACCCTGCATTGCTTAATTCTCCTTGTTGCATAACTTCGATTTAGCAAACACCTCCTGAGGTTAATTACACAAAATGCAACACTATTAGGGAATATTAAAGAAGTACTTAGTTAACATGCTATTTCCTCCTAGTTCTGTTCATTTGAATGCTCTAAAGTTAGCAGCCATTTGAGAAGTCTGATTAAGCATGCTTTCATCTAATGTCCAGGTTGTTATTGTTCTGTTTCTTTCTCTGATTTCAGGTTGATTTGGGTCCTGATAAGTTTCTGTCAGATAAAGATCTTCAGTCCACAGTGAAGCTGCTTCCTTCTTTGGCTGTAAGTCTCACTTTTTTGGATTTTTTTAGTTCTAGTTTTAGTGTCTATAAAATCTTCTCATTAAAGTGTACAGATGTGGGATAAGAAAGCTGTTCAGTCTGTATTTGTGAGCCTGTCTTGTGTTCACCACAGCTGTGGTTGGCCCAGGTCAGGGGTCGGCAGCATGCGACTCTTTTTAAATAAAAAATAAAATAATCCTCCTTTGCAGTAAAATAAAGCTCTGCTGATCGTTCAAACACAGTTTAACAATAAATAGTCTTAAACGCTAAAGTATACGCTAAATGTATAACTGCGACTTCATCCTTTAACCCTGAAGATCAGCGCGCAGACTGCTGGTCACCTTAGCAACACAGACAACAATCTCGCCTAGCTAGTAGCTAATAAACAAGCAAAAAGAGCGATTCAAGACGAACATTGATAATTTGGAGACGAATGGACTTATTTGCATTTGTAAACACTGAGCTGGTTTCCTTCAGCGAGAAACTGTCAAACACTAAAAAGTCACAAAGCTGAAGTCGCTTCTCATTCGCCAGCTTCTCGTTCAAGTTTTCATGTTCCACCTTAAATGGTGCAGCATTCGAACACAAAGCTGGCGAATGAGAAGCTGACTTCAGCCTCATAAAAAAAATCACATGCTGAGAGATGTTTTTAAAAGAAACTATTCCGCTTTTTTCCTGCTCGAGATGCGAGAAAAGCGGCTATAGCTGAGCTAAAGCTTAAAGCAGAGCAAAGTTATATTTTTTTTTACCCTATACTAGTACATTAGCACAAACTGAGACATATTTACAGCCAAGATGGTAAAATGGACATAAAATATTGTGGCTTCCAAGGTAGATTGATTTTTGCTGAAAGGACAAGACAGCTCTTCTTAACATTTGGGTTGCTGACCCCTGAACCAGATGCTTCTATGTAACACCTTGGTTAAGTCTATATATGTATACATTACAAGAGGTCAGCCAAACCCCATGAGGATTTCCTCCACAGACACACACACACACACACACACACACACACACATATATATATATATATATATAAATATATATATATATATATATATATGTATATATATATATATATATATATGTATATATATATATATATATGTATATGTGTTAAAATAGTCACAAATTTGGACAAAAATATGTGTTTTGGGCACTATTTTGCCCTACAACACCTTGCATGTCTCACTTCACTATAAATGGATTTTAAGAATATGTTTTGGGCCAGAACCTTTTGAGAAACTATCATAAGCAAGTCTATTAGAGTTTGCTTTACAAATAGGCACTGTTTGATGGTGTGATGATTTAGGCATGCGTTTGGTGAGGTGCTATTTGGTGGGGTATAAGCTTCCATTACTTGTTAGTTAAATTTGCTTTGTAAAACTGAAGAAGCCAACTTGAGATACCAAACATGTCTCGGTTGATTTTCTTTGTTGATTGTTTATTGTCTATTGTCTATTCTTCATTTGAGTTTTTGTCAAACTAAGAGGAGCTTTAAATACCTCCATCCTTACTGTAATCTCTGCTGGTGGAATACAGTCCACAGTTATTGCACATCTGACTTGACCAGCCACAGTTTGTGCTGCTTGTTGCATGATTGATCTATCAGATATCTGAATCTGTAAAACTAAGCTGGTCTCTTCAAACTATTTCTTACATTAAGCCATAGTTTGCCTTTGTGTTATGCTGTAGTACCTTCTAGATAAATGTTCACAGCCTCCACTTAGTCTCCCTCTGTTAAGTCTCTTAGCGCAGCTGCTAATGATGTGAGAAAAACAGGGTGAATCTAGACCACATGACTGTGTGATAATCATGCAGATGCAAAGCATCCAGCCATGCCGTCCTCCTCACAAAGAGGAGGATTATGTGAAACCTTGTATTGATTTGGTTTGTTTTTCTACAGTCCAGACGTTTTTAACCATACGTGCTGTCTTTACTGGACATCATGTGCCTTTTTCTATATCAATTGTGCCTTAGTCTAATAAAGGTTTTCCTTTGATGTTTCACCATTACTATTATTATCTGCTTGTTTGTTTGTGTTTTTGTTGTTAACTGGTTAACTGATGTGATTCTTTCTTTCTTTCTCTTGTTTTTGATTTCTGGTTTCACTACAGCATCCATACATCTGTCCAGTCACTTTTGCTTTTACTAGTGAGTCCTCAGCTTTAGTGATCAGAACCTTCAACGAGAAAGGCACGCTTAGGGATCATATTTGCAAGGTATGTGTCATAAAACTCTATATGGCATTTTTTAAAATTCATAGAGAAGTTTTTGTAACAAATGCATGAGCCATGACAAGGTTCATCGACCCAATACACGCATCCATCCATCCATCAATCCATCCGTCCATCCATCCGTCCGTCAATCCGTCCATCCATCCGTCCATCAATCCATCCATCCATCCATCCATCAATTCATCCATCTGTCAATTCATCCTGCCATTCATCCATCCGTCAATTCATCCTGCCATTCATCCATCCGTCAATTCATCCATCCATCCATCCGTCAGTCCATCCATCCATCCGTCAGTTCATCCTGCCATTCATCCATTCGTCAGTCCATCCATCCATCCATCTATCCATCCATCAGTTTATCCATCTATGCGTTAATCCATCCGTCCGTCAATCCGTCCATCCACCCGTCCATCCACCCATCCATCCACCCATCCATCCATCCATCCATCCATCCATCCATCCATCCATCCAACAAACAATCTGTCTGTCCATTCATCTATTTCTCCTGTGCTTATACTTTAGGTCAAGCCAAAGGAGTCATTCCTGAAGAAGTACTGTAACCCAAAAAAGATCCAGGGTTTGGAACTCCAGCAAATCAGGACTTACGGGAGACAGATTTTGGAGGTCTGGAAAAATAACATTGCTGACTCATTACAAAATACATTATTGCAACAGTGATATTGTCTCCTGATTTAATGTAATTTCATATATTTTTTTTACTATGGCCTGGTGTGGTGCATAAGTGTCTACATAGTATTTTCTGCAGTCTAGTCTGAACTTTTGATTTGATTTTTTACTCCTGTTAGATCATGTTTCTTTTCTGTGTTGATTTAGGCCCTGAAGTTCCTTCATGATAAAGGATTTCCATATGGGCATCTCCATGCGTCCAATATTCTAATTGAAGACAATACGTGCAAACTCCTGGACATAGAGAACTCTCTACTGGGACTTCCCTCTTACTACCGACCATACGTCACACAGTTTAGGAAAATTAACGTAAGATCTTGGTCTTTTACCGTTCTGTAGTTCTTCAACACTATTGGCTACACGGTTGATTTTCTTTTCATTTAGAGTGTGTTACCCAAGTATGTTTAGTGTCACAAGCATTAAGACTTCTTGCCGTTCTTGTTGTTTTAGGACACTTTCACATGTTTGATTTACAGTTAAGTAAGAAAACTTTCAACATAAAACTGTGTTAATGCTTTGGGTATATTTATCTTCAACACTCAGCTTCATGTTCATCAAAGGTTTTGCTTAAATAATGATTTGACAGTTTTCTTTTTTAGTATTGTTAAAAGCACATATTTAAATGGCTGAGAGCTAATTATATTTGACCTTATTTTTTCAGACCACAGAGAGCATTGACGTCTACTCCTTTGGACACTTGCTGTATGAAATGACGTACGGGAGGCCTCCAGATGCTGTACCTGTGGACCAGTATCCCTCTGCTCCCTACACCTCAGTCGGTGAGTCGGCTTAAAAATGCACTCAGATCTTTTTAATTGGCACAAGAGTATCTGAACACTGTACTGTAAGCATGGTAATTAAAGTTCCACTTTTCTTTCAGTCTCGGTACTGCAGTCCATCCTGTCCACTGAGGCTTGTAAAACAGGAATGCCCACTGTTCCTCAACTCCTGCAAACACCGTGAGTAGTGACACCACTGCTCCAGCTTTTCACAGTGTTGTGTAATGATGACAAGAAAGTAATGTAAATGTCATTTTTTTTCTTTACAGACTGTTCAGTGATGTGCTACTGTTCAACTCTGAAAAGCCCCAGTTCAAGGTGATTCTACACCCTTGTTTGTGTTTTGTGCAGAACTTGCATAAATTAGATTAATGCAAAAAAATACCAATAAACATTAACACAGTAAAAAAAAAGTGGTTTTTTTTGGTTTTTTTTGGGTTTTTTTTATAAAAGTTAGTAATACTTTGATTAGAGAATAATTCTCAGTGCACTACATTTCATAGATTTATTTAATTCTATCAACAACACTTGGAATAATTGAGTGAGTGAATAATAAATAATAAATGAGTGACTTAATAGTTATGCCAGATACTGACTTGTAACTCTAATAACTGGACTTGTATGTCGCTTTTGTCAGAACAAAACCTCGTATCTCCAAAATGGTAACTGGAGAAGGAAAAAACATACGATAAGACACTACTGTTCAATCAGAAGTTTGGAATAATTTTTGTTATTTTATATACAATTTTAAACAATGCAGGTTTAGATACTCTAGACAACAAAAAGTAGCATCCAACTGATTATTTTTACTTATATGAACTTGTAAAGTTGTACAGGACCAGTGAACTGTAGTGTATATATCTATATACACATCATGTGAGAATAATACTGTCAGCTTATCAGTAAACATGTATTGCTTTCCTCCCTAAAACGTAGATAACCTCCAAATTGAAGGAGGCCTTGAAATCATCCAAAGAGTGCTTGGAAAAGCGTCTCCAAGAAGAACAGAGAGCAGTAAGTGTTTTATGTTCCTTTTGTCCTTGCACCCTGTATGCTGAGGGAAAAACGTATAATCAAATATAATTTGCATTTTGCTCACTGGACCTTTATAGCACTACCTTGATGCTGACACTGACACACAATGTGTCTCCTCTGTGCAGATTCACCAGCACAGGAGGCTGACCCGGGCACAGTCTCACCACGGCTCTGAGGAGGAGAAAAAGAGGAGGAAGATCCTGGCTAGAAAGGTAGACAAGATAGTGGCTGAGCTGCTTTACAAATAATGATGATGAACAAAAAAACTGTATGCATGGTGGCGAACAAAATAGAGAAAAGTTATTTTGTCGTTTTTATTCGTTTAGAAATCCAGACAGTCTGCTTATGAAAATGAGGAAGATTTTTCAGTGAAATACAACAACAACTCTGGTAGGTTGCAAATGATTCTATAATTTTGTTATAGTTTCAGAAGAGGTGCTTGATGTTGGTTAAATCGGGGAAATGACTGGTGAAAAACAGACTTTTGGGAACCCCATCAGTAGGTACTTTAAGTAAAGACACATATACAGACACCACTACACTATTGAACATCCCTGAAGTAACGCAGCAGAATTCTACTTCAGAATCTGATTCGTGCATTGAAACTGTCTGCTTGTGAACCGGTCCAAGTGTCTCTAAAAACATGATTTAAAAATGAAGAAACTATATTTCAACTTTTTTTTTGTTTTTTTTTGTTGGTTTTTTTGCCAGGTTCAGGAGCAAGTTCTCCCCCTACTTGCCCTTCTTCTCCCACTCCTCCACCTGCACCAGGTATTTATCTCTTTCTAAATTATGTTTGTTCTGAACATACATACATCTAATCTCATACCAAGATTGCGCCAGTCATCTATTTTGATCATGTAATTGAAAAAGATACATTTCTTTTGCTAATTCAAGCCTCCTGTCTGTAAATGAAGGTAAAGCCATTGAACAGCCAGTGGGCTCAAAAAAAATCCCCCTAGTGGTGAAAGGTGAAATGGTCTGAGTAGGCCAGAATTTGCATTAGATGTTATCTACAGTTAAATACCAATGTTCAGTGATTCATTAAGTAATGCTTTGATGGTAATCTTTAATTGACTTTAGATGTGCAAGAGTTACCCAAATGATATTTCATTCACGGCTTCTTTCTCACTGCATAATGAATCAAATCTCGAATGTGTTGAATGTGCTCTAAAATGATTTGTAATCATCTTTGAATTTAACATATCATATTCCACATCCAACATGTGTGTTTTGATTCCTCTCATTCTAAAATGATCAGTAACGTGTATCTGCCTCTCTTTCCCCTCCTACGCTGTCTTCAAAGTAGAGCATGCACCATTTTGAACATGTGTGGGGTAAAGTAATTCAATAATAATTTCTTAATGTTGTAAAGTTGCAGTGCACCCTTCCTCAGTAGTGAGCTTTTTGCCTCACTGTACCCACAACAATAAGGGCATCAAGGTAGTGCTGGGCAGCATTGATACAGTTCAATATCACAGTATTTTCCAAATTCAGCATGGTGTCATGGTATCAAGTGATATTGAAGTGTGCATTAATAAAGTTAATTGGACACTGTTTCCTCAGTACTCTTAGGCTCAATCCCATTTTTTATTTTTAGCCCTATCACTTCACCCTACTCCTCCATCTCAAACAAAATCGAGACACCCTGCGCCAAGCATGAAGGCGCAAAATGGAGTGCTAAGGGTTAAGTGATAGAGGCAAGGGGTGAAATGGGATTGGGCCTTACTCTATGTTAAAGTTGACACAGTTTGTTTTGGACACTCCTGCAAACAAGGACCTGATTGATATAACGGCCAATATTAACAACCTACAGTATGATTGCTATTGGCCAATAATATCGCTGGTAACTTTGGACATATTCTGAGAATAACCAGTTAATTGGAGAAGACCATTAAGCTTGGAAGAGTTAAAGGGAGAAGAGGAAGAAGACAAGCAGCAACAAGATGGATGGATACATTTACAGGAATCATGAACCAGCCATTGAGAAGCCCGAAGACCCAAACAGATGACAGAATATTCTGGAGAAACACTGTCCATATGGTCACCAGGAGTCAGAACAGACTGAGGCACTTAATAATAAACAAGATAAAAATTAGTGCTTTTTTTGTTCAAGGGATTCGAACTCATGATCTCCTCGTGTTAGCACAAAATCGTGTATATAAGTTGTCACTGAGCAGCTCAATCAACCACAAAAGTTGTGCATCGTTCTGAAGTCAGCCTCATGCCCATATTAGGAACTCCAGGTCTAAGATTGACTTCTCTGTGATAAAAATTAACAGAGTTTCAGAAAATGGCCGCTATGATATACAAATATGTTCCAAACCTGACAGATTTCGTCTTACGTACATTGCTTCTTCGAAAGTCACTGTATGCTCTGAATTACGAGGTCATTAAGAAGTCTAAATATGAAGTTTGCTTGGTACGTGCTAATACCAAGCTAACACTCCTGCACACAGAGCCTGTTGGTTTCTGTGGGGGATTTTGGCGAGGTTGCCAGTCTTATGAAGTCAGTTCAGTGTGCAGCAGTGTTATATTTTGACTCCTTAATGATAATTAAATCCTCTTAATTCAGAGGATTCAGCAACATTCAAAGGAAAAATGTCTGTATGGCAGAATGTATCGTGTTTGAATCATTAGAATCTTAAGTATAAATAAAAAATATACCAGCCAACATTATATTAAATTTTAAATTTAAGACCCTTAAAATCAATATCGGTCCAAAAATATTTATTTTGGTCAGGCCCTACTGCAAATCTGACGCAGCTCATTTTGATTAGACTGTGTTGTTCTGTTCATCTCTTAAAATCGCACCAAAAAAAATGTACACGTTGTACATCAGCCAGACAGAAAGCACCATTACAGAAAGGAAACGTACTATTTATTTAATTTTCATGGATTTTAAACTGTTCTTTCGAATCAAAATAAAGCATTGAGTACATCACTACACTGTAGTTAACGTTCAGTGCCCAGTTACCACAAGTAAAGCATACAAAGAAATTAAAAAAAACTAAAAACGAGCTGCTTGGAGAACAGATACCACTATTGTAAGGGGATTATATCATGAATATAGTTTTATTATGTGTCAGAAATAATACTAAAACTGAAATGCAGTATCACATTGCGTCATTTGCACTGCACCAGTACAGACAGTATGTTGCCCAGCACTACATCAAAGTAAATTTTTGTTAAGTTATTCATCACCTGAAGTTGTGTTTCCGTCTGGGAATACATCATTGAATCACATTATATGTAAATCTGGCCTACTGAGAAAGGTTTATGCAACTTTAAACTTCACAATCTGCAATGGCCTGCTGACCTGTCCTTGGATTTTTCTCCCTTTTTTTTCCTTCCTCACTTTTTCACGCTTATTTTTGGCATACAGGTATTCTAAATATTCAGGAATCTTCACTATACAGATGTTTGGGTTTCATGTGGATTGTGATTTACATTATTTGTGGTTTCTGTGGAATTTCTATTGGTAATTGTGGCAAAACTGACATAGTATCACTTGGAAATGTGATTTGGTGAATTATTAATTAGGGGTCAAAGCATTCATCTGATATTTTAGTTTGCAGGTTGCATTAAAGACTTTATTCATGCATTTGATTTATGAAGTCATTTTAAATCTGGACACTAAGATTACAGTTTAGTAATGTGGTTATAAGACGTGGCGCTTGGTATTACTAAGGGCTCACTTTATAGAAGAAAAAAAGTGCCGTAGCTGTAGACACATTTTCTTTTTTGTTGCGGTCTCTTTTTGTTGCTGCTTAAATGTTACCCCTTATTCTGGGCACATACTGCAGGATCCAATTTTAGCCCTAATTTGCCTCGCTGGCAAATTTTCAAGGTAGAAAATTGCTCCTCTGAGGCACAAGTAGGGCTGAGGAATAGATTATGTTGTAGTTTGAGGTATTCACTTGTGTAATTAGTGAGAGGCTTTGTTTTTTTTTTTTTGTTGTTTTTTCAAGCATGTAAAAAATATCCTGTAGCGTGTGCCCATCTTTATGGTAAGTGCACCACTCTGCTTAGCCTAGCTGTGGCATGTGGCTGCATTTAGTCCACAGAGGTTACAGTACCAGTCAAAAATGTGGACACGCCTGATGTTTTTCATCATGTTAATAATAATTTAAAGCTTTCTGCTTAAATGCTTGAAATTTGTCTCTAGGACAGTAAATAGCAAAGCTTGATGCCAATGTTTGAATTTATTTCTAAATTTTAATTCGACAACATTATGAGAAATAAAATTCCATGACCCAGTGTCCACACCACCACTACCTGTTTCTGCCTGTTTTGTACTGGTGAATCGAAGCTGCGCGCAGTGATAAACGTCTACAATTACAAAATTATGTGTAGGGTCAAGCAAAGCTACATGTTCTTCGCGAGAGTGAGAACATGAGTGAAAATATAAGCAATTCTGCCAGCACACACACACATTATCTAAGCCACTTATCCTTCTGGGTTGTGGGGGGTGCTGGAGCCTATCCCAGCGGTCATTGGGTGAAGGACAGGAAACACTGTGGACATGTCACCAGACCCTCACAGAGCAGGTACTATTTGGGTGGTGGATCATTCTCAGCACTGCAGTAACACTGACGTGGTGGTGGTGTTAGTGTGTGTTGCACTGGTACGAGTGGATCAGACACAGCACACCACCACCACGTCAGTGTTCCTGCAGTGTTACTTTGTCAGTTTTTGACATAATTTGAAAATGCCTGTTGCCCTTTATATTGTGTGTTAATTTCATGATGAATGGACCAAAAGAAGCGCCCCCGAATGACCTGGGAAAAAAAGTCTGGTTTCTTTGGCGGTTTTTCCTTTACCTGTAAAGTTCTCATTTTGGAGATATGAGGTTTTCTTCTGATAACAGAGACATATATTAATTAGAGGACAAATTTAGAAGTGAGAATTTTTTGTTTTCGTAAGCCTCATAATGTTTCAATGAATGCATTTACTGCTTTCTTTTATTCATATTTAATAAATGCACCAAGGACATTCTCAAACTTGGGCCGTTTCAGTGTCTAAAGTGGACTCAGACTGCTGAGTAATGGTTTTCGGAGCATATATGGGCGTTTTCACACTTGGGCCGTTTCAGCGCTGAGTCATGGTTTCTTTTGCATATGTGAACACGCCAAACGAACTCAGACCCCCCTAAACGGCCCCAAAAACGAACCGAACTGAGACCACCTCTCGAGGTGGTCTCAGTTCGGTTCGTTTGTAGTTCGTTTTGTGGTTCGATTAATTTGTGCATTGTGAAAACAAAACGGCCCCAGTCCGCTTTAGCTTTGCTTTATGGTGAAGACCTCGATGCTCACCGTACATACAGCCACAGTCTTCACTTCAGCAGGTAAACAAACAAACGATCATTTATACGGTTCTACTCAGGATAAAGTCTGTCCGTGATCTGAGACAGACAGCAGCGCTGACTTATTAAAGCGATCAGATGCGAGAGCCCGCGTGATTATACCGTGTTAAAGGCTCGAGCTGGGCACGCAGCGCAGTTTTCAGCTGCTTTCACACTGAACGCTGAATGAATGAAAATTTAGCCGAACACGGAGCCCACCGCGGCAGACCCGCAGGGCCGTGTTTCCAATTTTGCGCAATGGACTTCGGCCAATCGTTTCAGCGCGGCCAATAGGAGAGCCGCGGGCGGGTCTGGTGGTTCTTCTCGTCACCTGATAGCTCGGATTTATCAGAGAACGCTGCCCACTTGGCGAGCGCTGTGCATACCGTGAGTGCTGTGAAAGGGGTCCGAGTTCTAATGGAGTTGTGGTCTGAACAAGAAGTGGTCTGAGATCTCAATGGACCAGAAAGAAAACTGAGTCCTCTTTAGAGTTCACTCACATTGTGAACACAAAAAGAACTGAGGTCACTTGCAGTTGGTTCCCTTCCAGGTTCACTTTAACAGAACTCGGTTCGGTTCTTTTAAAACGAACTATATGTGAAAACACTGTATGACCACAACAAACGGTCTCAGACCCTCTAAACACCCCCCAAAAAAAAACGAACTGAGACTACCTCTCGAGAAAAAGGAAACTGACCAAAAATGGAAAGCACTGCGGCAGACACGCAGGGTCATTTTTCCAATTTTGCATGATGCACTTTGGCCAGTTGTTTCAGTGTGGCCAGTAGGAGCAGCAGGCAGGTCTGGTGGTTCCTCTGGCCACCTGAAAGATCAGATCTATCAGAGAACGCTGCCCACTTTGTGAGCACTGTGGACTGTGAGCGATGTGAAGGGGGTCTGAGTTCTAATGGAGTTGTGGTCTGAACAAGAAGTGGTCTGAGATCTCAAAGGACCAGAAAGAAAACTGAGTCCTCTTCATAGTTCACTTACATTGTGAACACAAAAAGAACTGAGGTCATTTGCAGTTGGTTCACTTTCAGGTTCATTTTAAAAGAACTCAGTTCGGTTCATTTGAAAAGAACTATATGTGAAAACACCCCAAGTCACATTTTGTTCTTTGCAGCATAATATGACTGAGAAATCGAATGACTGTGGAAAGTGACTGCTGTCAGCTAAAATAATTATGATCAGCTCAAACTGAGACTAGGTAAATTGTGACAGAGGTTCTTCTGACACTATATTGTATAAATCTAATTATGTCACTTTGGCGCTGCGTTCTTGAAGTAATTTGAACTGTTCCGTCATCGCAGCCCTTAACAATGTGTTTTTTTTCATGGAAACTCATATATCAATAACCATTAAAATATGATTTATTGTGTATCCCTACAGACCTCCATACTTTTTTAGCTAGTGCATAATTCCACATGTGCTATTTCACAGTTTTGCAAAAGCCCTTCTAAGAGTAGGCATGTCCAAACTTTTGACTGGTACTGTAGTTCTCCTGCCTTTGAGGCAGCGGGTTTAAACCCTGTGGAACACCTGTGAGTACAGTTGTGTCCGGTCATACTAATATTTGTTATGTGGTCAACACAGGTGTTAAGCCAGCAACTCCTCCACCGCCACCTCCACCTCCTCCACCTTCAGGGAGTGTCCCAGGCCCCCCCCTCCCTTCAACCCGCCTTCCGTTAACGGCGAGGGCCGCAGCGCCCTCCTCAGCTCCATCCAGACCTTCAGCAAAGGCAGGCTCAAGAAGTCAGAGACCAACGATCGCAGCAATCCACACATCTGAGAGACGGCCTGTTTTTGTACGACTCTTCGTTCAACTTCTATTGTGCAATTCGTCCTTGGCTGACTCCTGTAAGGCATCCAAGGTCTCTTCTTCAGTCGTGCAGAAGCTGGCAGTATTGTTTAAAATAGGACTGCAGTGGAAAGCTTGAAAGGTTGCTGTTTTTCATTTCCCAAATCAGCTGCAGATTGGAGTGTGTGGGTAATTGTGTGGAATCAATTTGGGGTCTACAGTGCTGCTATACAGAATCTAATCCTGGAAACTGGACTCCAGCTGTCAGATTTTAAGAATTGGGCCAGCATATTTGTGTTAATCATATGCATATTACTGACCCCCCACAAACCAGACACCCTACAACTGCAGCTACACGTTTTTTTTTTTTTCAAGCACAAGCATCTTTTTAAATGCTTTGGCCGGCTGACTTTAAGTTTGACAGTTTTACTTAAATATTGTGCAAATGTCTTTTTAAGTCATTCATACTCTTTAGGGAGGGCTTTGTTTTAAAGAAAAAAATGGAAAAAAAAATAGCTTTTGGGTTTGTGCCACATTTAACCATTGTGCCTATACGAGACAAGTGGTATGATTCTTGTTCCCAGATTTAGGAGCTGTATATAGTTCATTCTCCTGTCTGCAACAGTGTGAATTTTTATGCAAGGTTACAATCAAGCCTATATATAAATATAATATTATTACAAATTATCCTGTCCCTGTACCCTCATATAAACCTTCTGATGTGTTTTCAGGATTACATACCAACATCTGAGTCAAATACTTCCACCTTTGGTGACTTTGTAAAGGACTTGAAATCAGTTGACGTAAGCTCCGCCCACAAACGCCTTCTTTCGTATCTACTGTTTCGTGACTGAAGTTTTACAGAACACTGGTTTAAAAAAAAAACATAATATTGGACCGCTAAAATGTTTGTTTACAGTCACAACATAAAAGGTGCGTTTCCAGATTAAAATGCTGCCATTCAAAAATGTATAAAGTGAATTGAGTATGCTACTTAATACATTTCAAACAGTTACAGTCTTATGCAGAAGTTTGAACATCCCTAGTCAAATGACGTTTTGTTGATTTTCTAAGTGAAAGTAAGTTAACACATCCTTGACAGAGAGCACACATGGCATTTTCTGCTAATTTTAGTTTACAATTTCTATTAATATATTAGATCTTACTTTTGCACAGACCACATTCTGGGTTAAAATTAGCAAATAAACAGTAATTGTGCTTTAAATTGTGCAGAAGTGCAGAAGTGTGTTCTCTGTAGAGGATGTTCATTTATTTTCACTTAGAAAGTCAACAAAGCATCCCAAAATTTTGCATGTGATTCAGGAAAAATAAAGAAATGTTAGATTGTCCAGAATGACTAACAGAGACATAGGTGAATGTAAATAGCATCAAGAATAACGTTACAATTAATTTAACTTCCAGAATGTCTAGGGGTAGATAGCCTGACATGAAAAAATTGTTAATAGATAATTACAGTTTCTAATTTATTGTATAAAATAACTTAAAATTAGGGATGTAATGATTTGGGTTAATATGATACAATGGTGTCTAGATACAATATATTTTTGGATACATCAGAATTAAGGATGGCCTGAAAATATGTTTATGCTCAGGTTTGTGGTTTCAAACAGTGATAGTTTTAAATTTCGATTCACATTTTTCGCTATGTATTGAAATAATTATTACACCCTTACTCAACATTTTTGAGATATTTATTAAAACATCTAAACATACCTTTTGCCATGTAGTTTATAAGACTTCAGTCTATATTTTAATTGTTATTGTGTATAAAATAATACAAAGCATTACTATAACGAGTGATTCCAAACCTCAGAACTGGGCTGGACTAAGTTGTTTTAGCTAATCAAAACTAGGCAGATTGAAAAATAACAAAAATAAAACAATGAAATAGATTTTGCCCGCATACTAACATTAGATCAATTGCACGAGGAAAAAATACCCCTAGTCTATCCTAAAAATGTGATCCTTCACACATCTATGAGAAATGTCATTTTGACTCACTCTTAATGTAGCTATTTTGCAAAGTGCGGTCAACTATCTGTAAAGTTTCTCTGATTTGTTTAATTTGCCTCATAGTAGCTACAATAGAAGGCGTTTGTGGGCGGAGCCTGGTTGAGTAAAATCACCCTAAAAACATCCTTATTTTTGCACAGGTACGGGGAACAGTAATTTGAAAGAATCCTAGAATCCTTGTTTATTCAGGACAAAGTACTACGACACCTGGTGGACTGGAAGGTTAGCGAGAATAATTTGTATAGCAAAAATCATATTCATGTAATCATCAGCCTGTCTGTGTATATACGTCCATACATTTTGCACTGCAGACAAAACAAACAGCTGAAAGGTTTTTGATGGAACCTGTAGGCCACACGTTGAGCTCAGAAGTGAATTATACTGGGGAAGGAAAATCAGTTTCTCTGCAGCACTTTACCACTTCTTGTTAAAAAGTGGTCTTGAACAGAGGTGTAAAGTTTACATGAGATTTCATTACGTCATTAAAGACGCTGTAGTGTAGGGGAGACGGTTAATACTGAAGACGACTGTGCGTTTGCCACAACCACTGCTGGAAGCACTGGAGGTGTGCATCCTTAAACAGTTTCTAACAAGCAGAACCATGTTCTTGTTTTCCCTGTTAAAAAAAAAAAAGACTTGTGTTGACACTATTTTAACAGAATGGTGTTTTTGTGCTTTCAGTTGTGATAATTCAAGTAAAAATGATGGAATGTTCTTCACTTTGTGTTCAGTTTGTCCGAACGTGTGTTTTGTATTAAATGTCAGCGTACAGATGCTTGTGCTGAATTTTGTCATGTAAACTAATAGTCTCAGTATTTCAGGTCAAAGTGAAATCCATATACAGTCGTGTGCAAAAGTTTGGGCGCCCCTGGTCCATGTTTTGTTGATTTTCTAAGTGAAGAATAAGTGAACATTTACAGCCCATGTGTCAAACACAAGCCCCGCAGGCCAAGTCAGGCCCCTGACACAGTCCTATTCGGCGAAATTAATTAAATTTTCTGTTATTATTAGCCCATTTCACCCTGAAATGCACTTCAGTCCACAGCATGCACTGCAACATAATGTGCGCACCGACTCCCTTCCTCCAACAACAATCTTTGGGCCAGTAGTTACACAAAAAGCCTGGTGTCTAGTTTAAATAAATAAGCAGTTTTAAAATCCTACATCCTGGGGACGTTTAAACAGGTTTAAGTTATCTGCCACTAATGTAGCCTACTGGTTTATATAACACAGTTTATTTTTATTTAAAATTATTTTTGAATAGTTAAAGTATGCAGAGCCAACAATGGCCTGTTGGGGTCATGGCAAAATGGTAGGTAAAAATGAAATAAAACCACAGCTGGCCCACAGATTTGCTGAGATTTTTTAATATGGCCCATTTTGGGGCTCAACACCCCTGCTCTACAGACAACACACTTCTGCACATTTTAATGCACATTTACTCTTTACTTTTTTACATATTTAACATATTAGAAGAAAATATAACAAATTGTGTGCAAAAGTTATGGTGCAGTATATTGTTTTTTTTAATGTTTTTTCCCCCCATATGTTGAACTTGGCACATTAGAAATTGTCCACAAAAATGCAAAACATGTCATATTTGTTTTGTTGAGGATTTATTAACTTATTTTCACTTTAAATTAACATAAAAATAAATACAGGGACAAATTCAGTTACAGTAATGAAGAGACTCCACACACAAGTTAAATTAAGACCAAAACAAGCCACTTAGAGAGTGACAGAACTGAAAGTACAGAAATGATTATCGTTCCATTTTGAAGAAAAAAATATCTGATCTTTGAAATCGTTTGTATTTTAAATGCAAATTTTCTTTTTTCAGTTTTTTTTTCTATCAAACTTATGATTAATTAACTAATCTGCATGCAGTTTAAGAAGCTCCACCTTGAGGTCAAAATGTTCAACAAATATTACTCAAATGTGTAGTATTCTCAATATGAATATTTAAAATGTATATTAAAAGAAATATTTTCTAAAAAAGTATTTTAATGTAATGAAATGAAGGATGGAAAACAGATTCAATGTTTTGTTTGTAAAATATGAAAGGATGTAATAATTAACTATAATATGTTTTACAGCCTGGACTGCTTTTTAAATGAGGCACAGTACAGGGCAGCCAATCAGAACCTAGCTTATTTACATATATCAGTTTTAAAGGCACGGTAACAAAAACAACCTGTTTCATTCAAAGATAAAGGGAGGAATCTTTGGTGCATAAATCTGCACAAATGTTATGTATGGACATAATGGGGAAAGATAAAATATAAGAAAATATAGGATATGGGCCCTTTAATCTTTGTTATTGTAAATATGGAGCTAAAATGAAGGAATACCGAACATAAAGTCATATTCCTCCAACAAAAACAGGCATCCAAAGGATCACATCTTGTGCTTTTTAATTTCATACTAAACTGTTTTTGTTCAGTTTGCATAGTTCAAACAATTAAGGAGGAATATTAAAGGGAAACACAGACAGCACATTTTTCAGTTTCTGAATATTTGAAAATACCTGTTACCCTTTAAATTTCATGATGAATGGGCTAAAAGAAATGGCCCAAAATGACTTGGAAAAAAGTCTGGTTCCATTGACTTACATTAAAGTAAAGGAAGTTTTTTCCTTCTCCTGTAACGTAACCATTTTGGAGATACAAGGTTTTCTTCCGACAGCAGCGAAATTTATTTACCATTGAAAAACCACTAGTGAACCTACACGTGTCTTCTGAGTTTTAGATGTGATGTTGCTGATGGTAAAATAAAAAAAGTTTTCTTTGGGGACTATTTTGCCTCATAACACCCTGCATAGATCCCTCTGCCCTAAATAGATTATATTAAATTGATTAAAATACATTTCAGGTTAACATTGTTTCAGTGTATTTATAGCCATTTCATGTAGTAGCTTTTAGAGGCGGACGTCTGGTTCCTATCACCACCACTGTGAACAATACTGACTCGGTAAATTTCTCTAAAACGGAGCATTTCACACCAAACCACTCTGAACGACTTAGTTTGCATCTTAAAGATTTAATTATGCAGAAATTCTGGTAAATCGATGGCAATTTCTCTTTAAGTACTACTTCACAGAAAATGGCAGCAGCCACAAGTCAGTTGCTTCCTTGCCCTTGGATTTCCTAACGCGCCGTTTCCATTTGGTGACGTCCAGACAGGAGACCGCCTGTGATTGGCTGTTTTTGAGCATCCCATCTTCTCATTGGACACTGAAATCGCATGACATCACTGTAGTGACGCCTCCAAAATAGAGGACAGGAGGGACAGAGCCGACATGGCGTCGCTGAGGTGCTTTCTCCGCTCTGGAAAGGTAAATATCGACTATTTAACTGTCTGGTTCTTAAAGTAAAGAAGTGAGTGTTTTGAAATGAACCGTTCTGTCTGTTTTCTTCTTCGCAGAATGCCGTTTCGGCCGTTCTCCGGAGGGAGTTTCACAAGTCTTCGCCGGCTGCTGTGCAGGTTTGATGTGATGCTCCAACCTTCGTTAGCGAGCTAAGTTGGCGTTAACATGTTCGGACAGGAGGAGAGACAGAGGCGGAAAATAAGTCCTCCGAGAGGACTGCAGCGTGAAAACCGACAACTGATATACATTAACGAGGCGATTAATATCATATTTATCGTATGACTGACGACGAAGTCATTTATTCGCCTACCCGGCAGAGCTGTGTTAGCTGTGTGGCTAACTCGGCGCTCCTCAAGCTTACAGTTTTAGCTAAGTTAGCTGTGCTCTTCAGCTACCCGAGCTGTCAGTGAAACTCAGTGATTGTCAGTGTAGCATGAATATCAGATTTATGTGGAAACCCGTTTCCGCCACTGAAAAAAAACATACATAGCCCTGTAGTAAATCACAATAACGAGCACGTTTTCCATAATTATGACTCGTTATCTCATAGTGTCTCATAGTAATACCTTACTATCTCATAATTATGAAGAAATAAGTCATAATTATCAGATTGAATCTCATTACAGTGAGATACAAAGTCAGAATTATGTGAAAGTCAAAACTGAGATGCTAGTGAGCCATCATTATTGGATAGTACGTTATAATTATATGATGCCAAGTCGTAATTGAGATGCTAAGTCTTAAGTATGAGATAGAAGTCATAAATATGTGATAGTTGTTATTAATATGACATGGTAAGTCATAATTGATATTGTAAGTCGTAATAATGTCATAGTATGTCATTATTATGAGATGCTAAGTCATAATTATGAGATTTTAAGATGTAATTATGAGATGCCATGCCATAACTATGAGATTGAATCTCTTTATTATGAGATAATAACTCATGATTATGAGAACATCAATCAAAATTATGAAATACTAAGTCATTGTGAGAGTCTCATTACTATGAGATAGCAAGTCATAATTATGAGATACTAACTAATAATTATGGAAAACTTTCACATTATTATGACTTACTAAATGGTTATACATTTTCATAGTGGCAGAAATGGGCTTCCATACTGACAGCTGAGTCACTCAGTAATTTATGTAGTCAGTACTGGATGATATTGATGAATTTCAAGGTTGTGATCTTTAAATTCAAACCTGATATCTCTTGTTTTGATTGGACTTCAATCAAAAAACAGTTCAGTTTGTTTTTTTCTCTTAAAATGATGGCGAAAGGTGCCATGTGCTGTATTTTGATCACTAACCATTTGTTTTTGTGGGTTTTAAAATTTTTTGAAACAGTCTGAAGCATCTATTAGGTGTGGACGATATGGAGAAAGATATATGACAGTCCTTTCACGATACACAGTACTCATAAAGTTATTTTGACAGACAGACACAATGTACTATTAGTGCCATGTATAAAAACTGCCATCAATACCAGTTTCGTACGCTGCACTTCACTAAATCCAGTTAAACTATGCTCTTTTTGTAATAAAACATGTCCACCTCTAAAAGCTCCTTCACAGAAAGTTATTACGTGAAATAGTTATGAATCCTCATGTCTGATGGCTGAGGCATTGTTTTACAATAGTTTTGGCCTAAAAAAAGATTGTGAGGCAATAATACATTTAAATTACATACAACAACTTAAACCTGTATACACTCACTGGTGGTTTTGGATAAATGAAAGATTTTCAACTGCTGCAGGTGACGGTTAGAGATGCGCTCAACCAGGCGATGGATGAGGAGCTGGAGAGGGATGAGCGCGTGTTCCTGCTTGGAGAAGAAGTTGCACAGTATGATGGTGCCTACAAGGTTAATAAGTGTAGTATTTTTGAGACTCTCTCCAGTCTTCAAGAGTTTGCAAGTTTTTTTTTCTTTCGTTCTTGTTATTGTGCTCAAATTATACTGTAAATGTTTCAATACAGGTGAGCAGAGGACTCTGGAAGAAGTATGGAGATAAACGCATCATTGACACACCCATTACAGAGGTGAGCAAGAATTAACCAATGAGTCATTCCAAATTTTAACTGTGCTGGTTGTTGCTTCATACTATTCTCATCATTATTTTGCAATGTTATTTTTTTTCCCCCAGTGGGCAGAAATGCTTATCTTTTGTGCACTGAGCAAATAAAATCATGCATGCTTTAGTTTATTGAGCAATTTGGACTACTGTTCAAAAGTTTATAATCACTTGTTGTAATAGTCCTTATTTTATATACAGTAAAAACAATATAAAACAAAAATATAACAAAAAACAATATAGATTCAAATATTATCAACCAGACATTAAAAGGAATCTTTAGACATTTTATTAAGTAATCCATGTAAGTTATTAATTGAAATACTGCCAATATGTATTTACAGCCACTTTTGTCAGCTTGAATTCTGAAAAAGTAAACATGCTGGATTTTAATTTTATTAAAACCTACGACATGATTATTCTGGAGAGCACTTTTTCTGTTAATTATGTGAAACCTGTGAATGTTAGAATGATCTCAAACTTTTGAACGATAGTTTATGTATGTGCGTACAGCATGATAAATTCTGAAAATGGTCATATATCTGATTATATTTCATGCCACTGGGAAAATGTGATATTTTGTTTTTCCATTGTACTGTAATAACTGGTCGTGATTGAATTCAGTCATTTGTGTTATTAGAATTTTTTTCCATTTGTGTTATTCATTTTGGCTAACAGCAGAAATGGAGGTATTTCGCACAGAATATTTTCAGCAAGTCTTCTGAGTAACTATTGTATTTTTTTCCTGCATGACTTGCCTGCAAGTTAGCAGTGGCCTTTCTCAATCCCGAGTGGGAAACGTTTCATTAATTGCAATCAGATGTGACTTTCAGCAAAGAAAGTCACTCCAATTAGTATGAAATTGGCTATTTAGGAAAATAAGGCAGTTTCTGCAAAGGCAAGTCCTGATTATGCCATCCTGTCTATGCTTGAATTAATGTGCTCGCCAGGCAGTGACGTCTGCTAGGTCACATAAACAGAACCAACCAGAACTGTAAATAGTGGTGATACAAATTATACAACTGTAATTAAAAATTGTCTTTTTTGCCTTGTTTTTTCATACAGATGGGTTTTGCAGGTATTGCTGTAGGTGCTGCCATGGTGAGTTGGTTCACTTTTTTCCAAGGTGATTATGGAACCCTGTTTACTATACTGGGTCCTTTTCAATGTAAAATTCTGTGTTAAAGTAACGAATAAACAATTAAGTTTTGTTAAATTATTTGTTCTCTGTTTTCAGGCTGGTCTTAGGCCCATCTGTGAATTCATGACTTTCAACTTCTCCATGCAAGCCATTGACCAGGTCATCAACTCTGCAGCAAAGACATACTATATGTCCGCTGGTCTGCAGCCTGTCCCGATCGTGTTTCGTGGGCCCAACGGTGCTTCTGCAGGTGTTGCGGCCCAGCACTCCCAGTGCTTTGCAGCCTGGTATGGACATTGCCCTGGTCTGAAGGTTGTAAGCCCTTGGAATTCGGAGGACGCCAGGGGTCTTCTGAAATCAGCCATTCGAGACGACAACCCAGGTATGACTGACCTTGTGCCTTGATATTTAACATGAGGATTTTAACCTTCTCTTTCTTGCTTGCTTGATTGATTTCCAGCAAATTAGCTGTGGCCTTTAGCCCTTGTTTCATGGAAGCATCCCGTTGCATTCAGTTGTTGAATTAAATTTAAGCAGATTGGACTTTGAGTTTCCATCACGAGAACAAAACTCTTTACATCATGTCCATAAAAGCAATTCAGATAAATAGCAAGTTTACAGAGAAACTTTATTAGGCAGCTTATCTCTGCTCTTGTTTCATTTTATAGCTGTATTTTACATTGTAAGAGCGCAAAGACAAAATGCCCTGTCATAATAAAAAGGCTTAAGGTATCTGTTTATAATCTAAAATCAGTTTTGTGGTTTCTTCTTTGAAAAGCTAGTTATCTTTTGATTACCTGCAGCCTTCTTTCATGTTTTGTAGGTGCGGTCGAGCAAATCAGAATCATCAGCAAATATGTATCCATAGTAATTTGTAACTTTACTTCTTTATCAGCAAATAATATATCCACCTCCGGCAAAGCGAATCATTTTTATTCAGTATGTCGAAGTGCGCATAAAAATGTGGATGGAAGCCCAACTATTATGAAAATCACTGAAAATTACCAGTTTAAATTTTGCTGAATTCTCTTGAAAGAGTTAGGTTAGATATTAGTAAATTAGATGTGTGTCATATATATATATATATATATATATATATGAGTAATCCTATAATTGTTTTTGAAAGAGAGTGCCACTGTAGCTAATCATAAACAAGCTGTTTAACCCTTAGGACCCAAAGCCTGCAATTTTACGAGCAAAACCATAGGCAACTTCTAATCTTCATAACTTCAGAATGGTTTAAGCTACAGACATGATCCACATATCAGGATGTTCAGCAGACCCACCCCTAACTAGTTAGCATGATGTCATTGAGCTCTGATGTCAGCATCAGTGAGTAATTTGGCTTGGAAAACCACCCAACATTCTCTTATTGTTGCTCTGCTTTTTGGCCTTCATATTTCAACAGAGGGTTAAAACAGTGACATGATTCACACATCAGATCACTCATCAGACTCTGACCTTACAATCCAGAGTGATTTCATCCACCTGTGACCATCCATCAGCCAGCAATCCAGCTCCAAAATCACCCAAAACCCACTCGCTACTGTTACTATAATATATCTCTGCTTTTAGTCTTCATATTACAAACAAAGGGTTAAAAATAGTGACATGATTCACACACCAGATCACTCAGAAGAACCTGCGATCACAAGCCAGAGTGAGAGAAATCAGCTCTAACATTTCACAACCCAGAAATACAGCACAAACACACAGCCAGATCACTGTAAAACCTGCTATTAGCTCTCTGCTTTAGCTTTCATATGGCAACAAAAGGGTTAACTAAAGAACATGGAGTCTGAGAGATTTTAACTTTTTAAAGCTTCATCAGCAGAGTTTTTTTTTTTAATTAATCAGGGGAATATCAGACTCTTGGGTTTGGATATAAGGGCTAGCTTTGGCTTAAAGGTTCGTTGCCCTAATTGCCAGTTTGACTCAGATGTCTCACTCAACCTTTGATTTTCCACTATTTTACCATCATCAGCATATGAAACTCAGAAGACTCATGTAGGTCCACTGGTGGATTTGGATAGTAAATAAAATGGCTATATTTGTGTTGTAGACGTGGTGACCCCGTGGTTCCTATCACCACCACTGTAAAGAAACCTACATTAGCAAGTTTCTACAGTGTTAACAGAAGGCAGCGCTTCAAAACCAACATAACGAACAAACGCGCAAGAAACTCCTACTTAATTCAGGCCAGAGTTTCATAAAATATTTAACAAACTGATATTAAGTGTAGATTTTTTTTTTTTACTGTAATACAGTTTAGCAGTTTCATCCTCTGTGTTCTCAAACAGTGGTGGTGTTGGAAAATGAATTGATGTATGGAGTGGCCTTTGAGATGTCTGAACAAGCCCTGTCGAAAGACTTCACCATCCCCATTGGAAAGGCGAAGGTCGAAAGACAAGGTAGGTAATGCCACAGTCTGATGCTCTCCCCAAGGCAAAAAAGTCAAATTTTAGTATTTCAGCTCATCCAAAGTAGAACTTAAAGATTATATCTGTGTTTCTACACAGGAAACCACATCACACTTGTGTCGCATTCCCGAATGGTTAGTCATTGTCTTGATGCTGCTGCTGTTTTGGCCAAAGAGGGTATTGAATGTGAGGTGAGCTTCACGAATGTTCTGCTCAGTTGCTTTTAGCCTTCGTTTTCTTAATTTTGATATGCTGACTGATTTGCAACTTACTTGCAGGTTATCAACCTCCGCACCATCAGACCGCTTGATGTGGAGACAATTGAAGCCAGCGTGATGAAAACCAACCACCTGATAACTGTGGAGGGAGGCTGGCCCCAGTTTGGTGTCGGGGCTGAGATTTGTGCCAGAATTATGGAGGGTAAACTGTCATTCTGGGTTTTACTTCACTGAATTTTATGGAGTAGCATTGCGCATTGAAAGGTCATTAGGCCTCCATCTGTACAGTATACGATACACAATCCTGTCTTGTCTGCTTTCTAACTGTAGGTCCAGCATTCAACTACCTAGATGCCCCCGCTATCAGAGTGACTGGAGTGGACATCCCAATGCCGTATGCCAAGATTCTGGAAGACAACAGCTTACCGCAAATCAAGGATATCATCTTTTCAGTCAAAAAGACATTAAATGTGTAATATCATAGCTTGTAAAACACTTTTTCCACTCAACCCTTTCAAGAAATACGGCCCAACAAGCACCTGATGTTCCTCGTCTACCAAGTTGTACCTGGAGAGGATATAAGTGTAGTTCAGAGTCTCAAATGTACAGCGGTCTTTCTGTTACAAGCTGGGTCTCAGCTGATCCATCAATGATGGGCACCACCCTGTATTTGGGAAATGAATTCTTATATCTCACAAGATAAGATGGTTTGTTTTGGGATATTTATTATGGATGGGTGAGTAATATTGTGCATTAATCTGCAAAATATAAATACAACTGAAAACATTTTATCACTCTGTAAACGTGACTCGTTTATGAAGAACTGAGAAAAATCCATTGGTGCTAAAACATCCCACTTACAGTGAGCCGGAAAAGTACAGAAGTCCAGAGAGGCCATTAATCCAGGGTTATCATTTTCTGGATTCTTATCTTGAGAGCATGACTTAATTGTGTTCTGATCTCAACATAACTTTTATCTCGATCACAGGATAGTTAAACAGTGATCTCAAGATAACGGTGATCGCACTGTTATCTTGAGATCATGACTAGATCTCAACTAGATCTCAAGTTATCTCAGGGTCACTGAATAATTGTGACATATCTTGTGATCTCAAGACAAAAATTGTTACCTTGCGATCATGACCTAATTATCTTATGATCTTAGGAGAACAACTTTATCTTGAGATCACAAGACAGTTATCTTGTGATCTTGTGATCGAGTTATGACTTAATTATTAACTTTTATCTCAAGACCACCGGATACTTATATTGTGATCTCAAGATAACTATCTTCATTACGACGAAGTTATCTTGAGATCATGACTCAACTTGATCACAAGATAATTATCTTGAGATCACAAGAAAAGTCATGATCTCAAGTTATCTCAATCACAGGATAATTAAATTGTGACTTGTCATCTCAAGATAAGTTATCTTGATTATGACTTAATTATCTTGTGATCTCAAGATAACTTAAGATCACAAGATAATTAAGCCATAACAATTCAGAAAATTATAAGTATCTCATGGACTCTCAGGACTTTAGTAAAAAAGCTCTTTCACACCACAGAAAATAGAAACATGGATGTTGAATAGAAGGAATTTGGTCATTTTTTCATAATTATCCAGGGAGTTTCTGGTCAGTTGGAAGGCGAGAGACCTTCACAGAGCAGGACTCACAGCTGGAGAGCAAGAATGAAAATATAAACTACCGTCGTGTAGCGGCTCTTAAAGCTACGCTGAGGAAACTTGGAGCAGCAGAAAGAAAATTCAGAGGAAACAAATTGCACTATTTTGAAGAACGGTCGGTGCTCTGTAGGGATGTGTTGAACCTTATTTCATAAGGTTCTCTTCGTTTACTAAAAGAGGTCACTGAGGTCAGGACTGAGACTGAGTGGCTCTAAATGGTTCCTTGAAGTTGAGCTAAGTTTTGTTCCTTCTTATCACAGCCATGAGTTTAGAGGAACAAAATAAAGTTCCACCAGAATACTGTGCTACATTTCACAGAACAGCACTACACACTTAAAAATGATGGTTCTTTAAGGTTGTTTAGTAAAGAGCCTGGTTCCATACAGAACTATGGGCATTCAAAAAGGAGTTATTCTGTTGTAATAAGACTGCTAAGTAACAATAGAAGAGCCCTCTTGTGGTGCTATATAGAACTCTTCAAAAATGTTCTGTATAGAACCATATACACACTCAAAAATGACATTTTTTCAGGGGTTCTTTAGTAAAGAAAATGGTTCTATATAGAACCATGAACACGCACAGAACCCTTTGCATGATTAAAAGGTTCTTTGCATCATGAAAGGGTTCTTCAGACTGATGGAGAATGTGCTATAGATGGTTCTGTATTGAACCTTCTTGACATCGTATACAATTGAAGAACCCTCTTTGGTGCTACATAGAACCCTTTTCAAAAAAGTTCTGTATAGAACCATATACATACTTAAAAATTGTGTTCTTTAGTAAAGAAAATAGTTCTAAATAGAACCATGAACACTCAATGAATCCTTTGCATGATTAAAGGGTTCTTTGCATCATGACAGCGTTCCTCAGACTGGTGGAGAATGCGCCATAGATGGTTCTGTATTGAACCTTTTTGAAAAGGGTTCTATTGTAACAAGCCTGACATTGTAACAATAGAAGAACCCTCTTTGGTGCTATATAGAACCCCTTTCAAAAAGGCTCTGTATAGAACCATATACACACTTAAAAATGATGGTTCTTTAAGGGTTCTTTATTGAGGAACCTGGTTCTATATAGAATCATGAACACTCAAAGATCCCTTTGCATGATTAAAAGGGCTCTTTGCATTATGAAAGGCTTCTTCGGGTTGATGGAGAATGTGCTGTGGATGGTCTATATAGAACGTTTTTGAAAATGGTTCTATAGAGCACCAAAACAGGGTTCTTTTATTGTAACAAGTCTGACATTGGAACAATAGAACAACCTTTTTCAAAAATGTTCTGTATAGAACCATTTATGGCACATTCTCTGTCAATCTGAAGAACCTTTTCCTGATGCAAAGAATGCTTCAATAATGGAAAGTGTTCACTTAAATATTGCATCTAGCACTTTTTGATTGGCACAGACAATAAATTAGACCAGTGGTCACCAACCCTCCTCCTGGACATTTACCTCCCCAAAGGTTTCACACCTCCTTCAGCTAATCAGAGACTTCTGAAGGCAGTAAATAGGTGGATCGGGTGAGGTTGATCACGATTGAAGCTGGAGTTCTCAGGAGTGTGGATTTATGGCTGATACTGCAGGTGGAGATTATGTTGAGAACCGTTGTGAGTTTTTCTTAAAAGATCAAAAAACCCTTCATTTGGGGCAGTCATGGGCTGGAGGTTAGGGAACTTGTGGGCTGGAGCCTTGTGACCGTAAGGTTGTCGGTTTGATCCCCTGAGCTGACAGTACATGACTGAAGTGACCCTTGAGCAAGACACCTAACCCCCAACTGCTTCCTGGGCACTATGGATAGGGCTGCCCACTGCACTGATGGGTCAAATGTGGAGGTGAAATTTCCCCACTGTGGGACTAATAAGGGTCACTTATTTTAATTAAATTTTAATTTAATTTTTAAGAGTCTACCAGCAACACTGTCAAGACTGCAGACCACTGGATAATCTATAAAATATATTTCTTCCTGAATTTGTTCTTAAGGTAAGTTCTAAGCATAGTTGATTTTTAAAAAATGCAATGTTTACAAGTCGCACGTTCTAATGCACGTAGCACACCGGCACTGCCGTTTATACGTCAGGTTGGAAAACTGTCCATCTTTGGACACTTCAATGTCAAATTCACTACACTCTTTAAAAAGATAGTTCTTCAAGGGTTCTTTAGTAAAAGGAATGGTTCTATTTAGGGCCATGAGTTCCACACTCTTACATATTATGGTTCTTTAGTAAAAACATGGTTCTATATAGAATCATGAAGACTCAAAGAACTTATTGCATGGTTAAAGGGTTCTTTGCAACATGAAAACATTTTTTCACATTAATGGATAATGTGCTGTATATGGTTCTATATAGCACCAAAAAGGATTGTTCTTTTGTGTGCAAGCTTAACAACGCAACAATAGCAGAAAGAACTGTTTTCACAAGGGGTTGATTTAGAACCATACACTCTTAAAATAGATGGCTCTTCAAGGGTTCCTTAGCAAAGAAAATGGTTCTATATAGAACCACAGACACTCAAAGAACCCTTTGCATGATTAAATGGTTCTTTGTATCATGAAAGGATTCTTCAGATTGACAGACAATGTGCTGTAGATGGTTCTGTATAGAACCTTTTTGAAAATGGTTCCATATAGAGTCAAAAAGGGGTTCTTCTACTGTTACAAGCCTGACATCGTAACAATAGAAGAACGCTTCTATATAGAACATTCTCCATCAATCTGAAGAACTTTTTCACGATGCAAAGAACTGTTCAATCATGGAAAGTGTTCTTTGGATGTTCATGGTTCTATATAGAACCATTTTCTTTACTAATGAACCCTTGAAGAACTTAAGTGTGTAGACATCTATATAGAACCTTTTTGAATTAGTTTCATATAACACCAAAAAGGGTCCTTCTGTTGTGACAATGTCTATAGGGTTCTATATCAATCACCAAGAACCATTGCACCATGTAAAGAACCGTTGCAAATGGCAATTTGAGTGTTCATTTTCATGGTTCTATATAGAACCATTGTCTACTAAAGCACCCTTGATGAAAATCTTTTTTAAGAGTGTATATAGAACCGTTTCACGTTTAAATGGTTCTTTGCCTGGTGAAATGGTTCTTCAGATTGATGGAGAGTGTGTTGTATATGGTTATTGTAACAATAGCAAAACCCTTTTCGGTGCTGTATAGAACATTTTAAAAACGGTTCTCTATAGAACCATATACAACACATTCTCCATCAATCTGAAGAACAATTTCATTATGCAAAGAACCATTTGAGCATGAAATGGTTCTAAATAGAACCATTCCCATTACTTAAGAACCCTTGAAGAACCATCCTTTTTAAGAGAGTACTTAAATGTAAATTTTTACAATCATTTTCAGATCGAATGTTTATATAAATGAGGCTCCACATGTGCAGAATATGTTTTCGCTGTATGTAAATGAGAGAACCGTAATCTCTCTTTGTGCTCATGATGGTGTGAAAGGTTCATGTTTGGAACATGAGATACTTTCTGACCCCGAGGAAGACCTTGTATTCATGTTCTTGCTGTTTATGCGCTGATGACCCTGGGTCAGCACCTCCCCCACCGCCGCGACTACATATAGAGAGGAGTTTGATTAGCATAACAAAAGAACATCTGACCACTGAAAATTCACTAAGCCAGAAGGTTTTAAGGCTGAATCAGTTAGAAATGTGTGGACTGTGATTTCCTTCATAAGAAAAAATGTCCAGTTTTTAAAATACAGACTTGAATCTGTCTTAACAAACATGCCATCAATAAATACAGAAGCTCATATAGTACTTATTTGTGTTTATGCACTGACTAATGGAAGTAAATCTGCTTTTTAATTATTAATTTAATTACAGTTATTCCAGCTGATTGCCCTTCATACTAATAGACTGTTAAACATTTTCATAATATAGAATTTGATCATCCATCTGTTCTGAATAATTGTTTGACTCCCAACACAATACACCGACCAGCCACTTCATTAAGTCTACCTCCTTGTTTCTACACTCATTGTCCATTTTATCAGCTCCACTGACCATATTGGACTGTATACAGACTGTAGTCCATCTGTTTCTCTGTATACTTCATTACCCTGTTCTTCAGTG